AGGTGTCGAGAAGGTCTTCGTTGGGCTCGCCATTGCTACGCCTACAGACAAACATAACCTCCTAAAGGAGCTGACTTCTAGCTCTGCCAAGAGCAGTTACGAATCTAGCTGTACAGGGGAGCCACCTGGTGAACTACGTTGGAATGCCTTGCGCCAGTTTGCAGTCAACGGCATTCTGCCACGCGACATACGTGGTGGTGAGGACGAAGCCACTTTCCAAACACGTTTCGCAGAAGCCTGGGACGGAAAGCCAGTCTCAGCCTGAACTTTGAAGAGATCGACGTCTGAGCATCACTATCGGCATAAGATTGCCATCATGGTGTGTCGAAGCGAGATCTGTCCGCGTACGAAGGCCTGCAAAAGCTAGAAACGCTATCATGCGCCTCAGATGCGTAAGCCGCTAGCATATTGTTCCACTCGAGTGCTTATGTCAATCAACCTCAGTCGGAGTGATAGTGGATTTGATGGTAACCTCAGTCGGATGAACTTCCTCGTCTACCATCTTTTTGACCCAACCAAACATTGACCATGACGAAGTCATTTGACATTGCTCCATTCGATTCAGTAGGAATTCCGGAGCGCTCGGTGGATGAAAGAAGATGGACGAACGACGTGACCTTCCTGATCCCCTTTTTCAGCTTCGTATCGCGAGAGAGAACCATTGGATTCTTGTGAGACGCATGGAATCCTCCGAAACCTTTGACAAGGGCGGTGATGCCAAGCTAGCTCCTACGAATAAGAACAACAGCGCACAAGAGAGTACAAGTCTACTCGCATCAACGACCATTCTTCCAATAACGAAGAAAAATGGTGTAACTACCACGAGTCCAGCACTCACAGTACTGCTGATTGCATGACTTTGAAGACACTCAAGTTCCGTTCCTCTGACACTGAAAGCAAGCCTGCTTACAACAAGAACAAGACTGACAACGCCAAGTCGACATACGCCTAGTCCTACACCAAGAAGGTACTCTCTGTCCTCATGAATAAGGTTTCCAACGCTGCGTTCAAGGCTGATCGCAAGAAAAAAAGAGAATGCAACCATATTTGCCAAGCGCAAGTCATACGACTCCGACAACGAGGCGAACTCCTCTGTTGGATCCATCAACAAGATGGACAAGAAGATGGCTGCTGTGGACAAGGCGCTTGCCGAAATCGACTTAAATCATTCGGAAGTGGTAGAGATCTTCTCGTCTGACAGGATATGTAGTGCCAGAGATTGATAGATTCAACGGACCATGTTCCGATTTCTGATACCTAAGTGATGAAGATGTCTCGGGTACTAAGATGTAGTTAATACATAAATTTTTGTTTGCAACTACCCCGAAGAGTCTACCCGGCAATTTAGATAATTGCCTAGTAATTGCTCAACTAGACACTGACTATCTGTTCATCATCGTTATCTTCGTCCATTGCCAATCAACTCATCATCGTCGCACGACAAGAGACATTGAAACTATCGTCTATGTAGATTTAACAGTGATCGAGCACCAATAATTGTGGCGAAACGAGAACCCATTACCACTCTGTTGGCTTACTGGATACAGGTAGAAGCATCCGGAACTTACTAATGTACTCAAACTCATGCGTAAGGCGTTTACTCATTGATTAGTATCAATGGGGGCGTCAAAACATTGCGGACTGCTTTTATGAAGGAATTGAAACCCCGCACGAAGTCTAAGGGCACACTCGGGATGCCTGAGTTCCACGATGATAGAATTATTCAAATGGAATTTACACGTCACCAAGAACTTGGGGCGCAAGACGTGATCATAGGTCAAGACACTTCTGCGACCTAAGAATCAAGTTTGATTTCACTACCATGTCATTGGGGTGGAACCACGCATTTTTTCCGGCGAAAGATGGCAATACACAAGGAAAAAAGGAGAACTTCTCCATATCCCGATCCTTGCAGCTGTCAGCGCAATGCAGATAGTCTCAAAGAATTCTTGACACGACATACGAACAAATAGACTTAAGCAGATGTGCCAGAGTCGAAACCCGTTAATTAAGGAAGAGCAAGACTGCCTCATGCCTTTTCAACCAAGTGCTTCGACCCGGGAGGATACTTGGGAGAGTTGCAATGACGACTAAGAATAGAACTTCGTCCCGACGCTAAATCTATTATACTAGGGCTCACCCTACTCCACGGGTCCATACCAACACTCTTAAAGAGGAGGTTGAAGTCTCTGCGAGGCAGGGGTGCTCAAGAAGGTGAATCGTTCCAATGGGACAGCACAAACTTTTATCATTCCAAGAAAGAGGGATCTGACGATTCATCTCTGATTTTCGGGAAACCAAACAAAGGATAACGGAAGCCTTAACCTATCCCAAAAAATACAGGACATGCTCTTGAACTTAGATGGATTCAAGTCGTACTAGTCTAGACCTGAACACGGGACACTACCACATCGAGCTGTCACCTCACTCGAAGAACAAACTATACCATTGCACTCCGAAGGGAAAGCACGAGTCACAGAGTGACGTGGCCTATGTAATAGTCCCAAATCTTCCAAAGGAAGATGAAAACAACCATGCATGACTTAGAAAATGTCTTGCATACATTGATGATCAACTCATCCCAACGGAACGTCGATCTCGCAGATCGCGTTGAATGGTAGGATGACCTTTCCAAAAGATTCAAAGAGTCGGGATTGAAATCAACATACCAAGCCTTCCTCGATAGGAAGAACTGAGTATCTAAACAATTGGGTTCTCGAGAAGAAAGCCAACCCTAACTAAAAAGATAATAGATGCGATCCAGCTACGCTCTTCCTATCATAGGAAGGAACTTCGTAGATTATTGGATCAATGAACTACCAAGGACTCTCCAAGACAGCAGACGGAGTAACCATCGTTCTGAAACAGACGTGGGTTACCAGTACCATGACCGGTTCCATGGACAGAGAACGTGAGTCCGCGTCAGAGGTCGAGAAGACTCTCCGGGATGAACATGGACTTCGTCGCAAGTCACGCGCGTAATCGTGACAAGACTCACACATCCGTTTCAAAGCAAACCGGAAATACATTAAGGAACGTCGCCAACGATTATCCAGAAAAACACCGAAAGAGAACACGGCACGTGTCCCTCATCAACACACATGTCAACGATACTATGATGATTCATCAGTATCAGAACCGTTAGTACGGTCAGCCAACGCACAAGGTCCTTACCACACAGACCGAGTCAATAACAATGGCACTGTACGGCTCCGACATACTACCGCCAGTAGCGGCACAGTCTACCAGACTTGGAACATAAGGTATTTACACCCATACAAGGCCTGATCCCCTTGTAGGATTGCCATCGTGCGACGCACATGTCTACATCCAATCTCCGGAGAGTGCCCCGCACTTTAATTCATATGTTCTCCTTGTCCGACTGATGTCGTGCCTTCCGTGACCCTTGTCAGGGGGCGAATGCAATACACGGCTCTTAGCCTTATTCGCGACTCGATCCTAGATAGGGTTTGAGTTCGACTCATGACGTAGTCCTTCGCGAATAGTCATTGGAGACAGGGTTCTCAATGACCGCTCTAGTCATACTAGGTTGATGATGAAACATCGCTCTAGATATTTAGCCAGCGTGGAGTACTTCCACGCTACTAGATAAATGCTAGACGAATCTTCCACGCGTTCCGTTTTTGGATCGTGGAGTGAGTAGGATTGCTACCGCAACCTACTCTATCACACTCTACAGTCTCCCGCGGGAGTTCAGATCTACGATCCTTTGATTGTGGATCTCTCTCGTTGATTAGTTTTCATAGCTTTCTAATCCTCTCATAACTTTCATTCTCTCAAACTCAAAACACTCGAAAGATCTTTACACTAGCTTTTAGCGTAGTGCACCAATGAAATTCAATGAATTCAACTGTAGCTGTAGCACTGATTGTTGTATTTCGAAGAGATCCTTTTCTCGTCAAGGAGGTCTCTTCTTCCCTTAAGAACTGCCTGCAAATCTATGCGACTGTCAATCCAACAAGTTTCTAGAAGGTTCAGTTCCAATACTCAAGTAGTGGACTGGACCTCGCTGAAACCCTTCCTCAGGTACAGCGGTAGTCAGGCAGTTGAGGGAGCCTTGCCGTGCCTCAGGAGTATTCCAACACCTCCAGTAGGCACCAAACCAAGGACTTGGCCCTGTCAGTCAGACAGGTGGGCCAGCAGAGCTCTCTGCTGGACCCTTTTGGGCCAGCTCTCCTCAGGAGCTGGGAGCCTTCAATCGTGCAGTGGCAGTCTGGGAACAGTACTATCTGCTACCTCCTACTGCTTCTGCCCGGCCTCAACAGGATTGGTATCAACTGCTGCGGTATCAAATGGGCTACAAGCTAATCAGGATCGGTCTCAATCTTTCGTACTATTTTCTTAACTATGGTAGAAAGGACGATCCTTTCTTGCTGCTTTGCTGGAGATAAGCCAACTGTGCATGCTGGAGCTGTAGGCCAGCATAGCTGTTGGAGCTATCTCTGACGGGATCCAGAGCTCTCGCTCCTAAAAGTTATCGCAGCTCCAGCTGACTTAATTCTTCTTGCAAAAAGGGCACTAAATCGATTCTTTTCTCCTTTTTTGTTAGAGCCAGAGCAGACGAAACGGCCTGAAATCGCGATTTGCACCAAATTCCGGTTTATACTTGTGTTTCAATTTTGTTTTTGTGTTTCAATTTTAAATTTTGGATTCGGTCTTATATTTGGGTTTCGGATTGATTTTACTAGTTAATTACCATTGTAATTTGGTTTCGGTTTTCTATAAAGGTTTCTGTTTTATATTTTGGTTTCGATTTTATGTTTAGGTTCCAATTAAGCGATCAATTTTGCTTGGATTCATAAAATCGTGATTTCCGGCCCTTCCGAACAGCCAGTAAGACTTTCATTTATTGTCAAATCGTAAAGTGCTTTGGAAGTTTGAAGTTCCAGTTTCCGGACAGGATGCAGGCGCTTTCATGCAAAGGATCGCAGAAGCCCATCACAACAGGAAGCCTCTGCCGATACACACAAGAGAAAAGCATGATGCCTGATGTGGACTCCAACGATGCCTCCAACAGCATCTCCAATGACGATGATGCCCCATTACAGAAGGATTTGATGAAGATTAGTCAGACTGAACTGGATCGAGCCATGGAGATCAAGGCTGCTTTTCAGAATGATGGACGTCTGAGAGAGATACCATCCGACTTCATGTGTGTTCAGTATGCATTATGCAGTGCTGATGAAAGTCTGGCACAAGTTTGTGAACGAGCCTACCCAGTGCAGTGTTTTCAAGAAGAGTACAAGATTGCAGACACCCTCGAAGAAGGCATTGATTTTCCACCAATATACGTTACAGCACCCTGGAGCATTTCTGCAATGGAATATCTACTGAACAGCAAAGCTATTTTGCTGTCATGGATTCTGCAGCTTTCTTTCCTTCAGTAATCAAGACGGATGCCCAATGGCGAATATGGATTGGATGTTGCTTTTATTGGTGGCAGGCAACATTCCCTGACTTTCAAGCCATCCGCATCGGGCATACACAAATGTTTGAATGCATGGGAAGTTCATTTGCAAATTTTGATGCCACACTGGCTGAGAAAGCCAAAGATCTCATGAGAGCATACCCAAAAAATCACAATGTAATCTACTTCCTCAATTCACCCACCGTTGTCAACATCTTTTGGGCGTTGTGGAAAAGGGGACTTCCAGAAAGAGAGGCAAGGGCCTATGTTTTGGGGCACAGCATACCTGGGTGGGAAGGTCAAAGAATTGATCCACTGTACAAGCAGCCAACAGAAGAGGCAGCTAGGGAGAAAATGATTGTGAATGTTTATGAATTTTTGCAGCTCCGAAAAAGACAGGAACAGGAGTTTTCCTTGGAGAATACATCCAATGCCTTGATTGAAAGTATGACGGAGAGATGACAGCTCTTTTGAGTTGGATTGTACTCTGGCCAACCACAGTCGCAATGGCCAGGATGTTTCCGTTGCAGATTTGCTCAAGGACTTTGAGGAAGTCTTCAGCATTGACTAAGCCTTCATGGGCGCCGTTGTGAATGAGTCGAAATAAGCCATGGGGTACAACTTCACTGTGGACCCTGCCACCGGAGATGAAACCTGAAACCTCTTTGATTTATATCAACACAATCTGGTGGAGCATGATGTGTCTCTTGTTCGTCAGGACGATTACTTTGAGCCGTTGTCTCAATTTGATGAGACCTTGTTCCAGGACGTTATTGTTCAGAAGATGAAGCCACAGGCTTCTTGAGACGCCAAAATGTTGCCCAGCATCGCTTCCATCGCATTCGCCACTCCAGAATGCACAGCCCAGAGGCGTCTTTTGACCACGCCAATGAGAAAGCAATTCCTGCGAGGCTTCACTGCTAGTACCGTAGACTCCGGTGGACCCATTGCGGAGGATCCCATTGTTGGTGAGTTTGCCTTTCTCGAAAGACAAAGAGTGTGATATCAATAACCAAACAGTTTGAGGATTGTAGTCAAGCCTACTAGCGAGCGAGTAATGTTGCCTGCCTTCAGGAGTTCCCTTGGTTGAGCTTGCCTTGAGACGAATGCTGTTTGCTTTGGGTGATGTGCTGTGGTCCAATCTTCCCACCCCGTAACTCCAACATTCTAGCTAGCCCATCAAGTAGCACCTTGGTTAATGTTTAGGTCATCGTGTTCTTGCTTCCATAGCCAGCTACCAAAAAGGCTACTCGTATACCGTAATAGTTAGCGAGCTAGCTAGATAGACTTGGGGGAGTTCGTGCTAGCTACCATGAACGAATTCAGTGAGGTAAAAACTACGTCCTTGCATATCTTGCCAATACGGTACCTTTTGGTGGAGACGACGAACCACAGCGAAGCCAACCAACAATACGAGGCACAAAGCAGAATCTGTTTTGACTTTCATCAGTCTAGGTTAGGTGAATACTGCGGCCTTCTACTAGATCTAGCCAGAGTGTGGATTTCCTCTTGGTTTTGGCTGACAGCCCGCTGAGTCCGTTCCATCCCTTTTGGGTTGATAATGGTGTCTAGCTAGCTAGTCTAGTATTCTTAATATAATGGTTTTGTTTTGTTTTGTTTGTTTAGCAGGAAGTTAGAGTTCGAAAAAAGAAGGCTGCTGTTTGCTTATGCAGTTCTGGCAGTCACCAATTGTTGGTGAGGAAGAAGTGCCTCCTGTGGAACACCGACAGCGGGCATTTCCACCTTGGGAGCGAGGAAGGTTTCGAGGTAGATTTGATTGGCGGCAAGAGTATCAAGAGCAGCAAGATTCTGTGCTTCCTGAACCGCTTGTTTGGAGGCAATGGTGACAAGCTTGCTGATGCTGTGTTCAGTGGCAAGTCCCTCGGCTCGCAGACGCTGTTGCAAGTCCTTGACGCCTGCCACCAAGAAGGTGCGGCGTTCCTTGCGGTACTTTTGGAATTTGGTATTGCGTTGAGTGTATGCTTCCAATCCGCGCCAAGAGGCAGTGTTGGTTTCTTCGGATTTGACTTGCCCAGTGAAGAGCATGGTGAGGTCTCCTTTAAGGTCAGCCTTGAGGTGAGTCAACTCGACCTTGCTGTACCAAGTGGCTTTGATTTGTTGGGGTTCGACGCGGCGAGTGTCCAAGACGTGCTTGACGGTGTTGTTGAAGCGGACAGTGCGAGGGCGCTTCATGCCGGCACGGGCAGGAGAGTTGGTCTTTGAGATAGCCATGATGATTGTTTGGTTGTGTGTTTTGGTGGAGAGCGAATTGTGTCTGTGGCTTGGATCGAGATCTCGAGTGTTGAAATTGTGTGCACTTCACTCTGCCAGCCAAAGCTGGGACACGGAAGGGGAGTGGGAGGTGGTCGGGAAAAGGGGACCAAGAATCCTGCTTTGAACTGGTTTCTGCTTGATGCTTCGAAAAAACCCTACCAAATGTACGCAGAATGCGTATGATAGACAAATAAACTCACATCAACATGCAAGAAAGTGTAATCTTGGATTGATGGCATGCAATCTACTCCACGTAACTACTTTTAAGTCTGATCATTTAGGATCACCCTGGAGACTCGATGGATGCCAACTCAGAGGCTCCAGTCATAAGTACTCAAAGTATTGGGCTATTGGGCCTCTCCGTTCATGCAATTTTGAGGAGGCTGTAAAACGAACTCAAAGGACTTTCCCAGTTAGTCTCGCTGCTTCAAAGAATTGTTCATTAGATCACGGTATTGTCTTGCTTATTAGTGGTAGTTTCCCTTACTATCGGATGCCTTGGCAAGGTAGAAGTAACTATTTAACATTATTCTGTTAAGGCACGAGCTTGATAAACAGTTTTGGTTCTGGTACCGTTCTCAACAGTACCGCCAAGGATTGCTGGCTGTAGGTGATTTAAAGGGTGGTCGTGGTATTGGGGTGCTGAAGAACCGGTTTTGAAGCATGATTGTACAGATAATCAACTGTGAGGGCACCTTTTCGCCTTTTCGATCATACTGCGTGAATGTGTCGTGCTGCATTCGACCTTTAAACAGCAATAACAGCCGGCTTTAATTAAAAACTCCCCGGAACTTTTGGAGCTAAATGACCCACTAAAATGGCACTGACATACAACATACAACAGCACTATTAATAATAACATCCTTCCAGTAACAGCTTGCAATAAAAAACATCTCACATCGACTTGTGCTACGCAGGCCACGCAGTTGTTCAGTACGTCCGTCGCCCGTCTCATGGAGCAGTGGCCCCCACAAAGAGTTCGGGTGTTGGGTGTTGGTTGATACTGTACCGGTTACGATCTGTACGCCACCAGTACCTGATACCTGGTACCGGTATCACTCCTCCTTTGGCCTCTGGTGTCGCCACTGAACTGGCTGAGTATGGGGTTGCCACCGTAGAACATGCCGGTACCACTGCATCTGCTGCATTGTGAGGGCTGCATGGGTTTGCAGCGCTAGCTAGTAGTTGGTACCGGCAATGGCGGAACCACAATGTTATTTATCGCCTCATCAGTAACCGCAGGTAGGGTTTGCAGTTCTGCGTTCTGCGGGCCTGCCTTTCTTTTGTGCAGGAACTTTCACAGGCCACAGCACCCGGTGCTTGTAGGTCTACAGTGCCCCCAGCTCTTGAACATGTATGATACTTACTTGTACATGGCTGTACTCTAGACTTGACTCAAGGTTTTGGATGTTGGATGCGGTACCGGCATTGTGTGTTGTTGTTTTTTTAAATCTCAAAATCTCTACTACTAGTACGTTCTCTGCAGAACCTCAGCAAAAATGATCTGCGTTTAAAAAGAGATACTAGCTACGTGGTGGTACTGTAGCGGCACCGGTCGGTACCGAGACGCGGACTACTGGACATCAGCCAAGCCAACAATGCTACTCCATATTAGGTTTTGCAGAGTGTAAGGGAGGGAAATGGCTTGCCCACTTCCAGCCCTCTCCTTTTGATCGTGGTGACTGTGTTTCTGTTGGCTGCTGCAGAGATGACAGGTGCAATTTCTTTCATCAGCAACTACATGTAGCTACTACCTAGCTAAGTAAGAACGTGAGAGGCAGCCACTCCTCTTTCACTTGAGCGCAGCACTATTAATAGTTATCTTCATTTACTTCATAACTGGCCGCATTTTTTGAAACATGCAAATCTTCTCTTCATACAATTTATATTTTCGAAACAGATCCCAGGAAACTTACAAACTCTTCACTCGAACACCTTCACAATTCACGAGTCTCGCTGGAACCAATACTAACTACTTTCGGGGGTTGCTACCCCCACACATTCGCCACCTGCTGTATATGCCTTGCCTTCGTAGATATATACGTCTCGCACATCAACAGGGTTCATCATCGAATAGATACCTGGGAGAACAAGGCAAGCGCATCCAATAGCAGTGTAAACCGCCGTTGTCTCTCCCGTGTACTTCCTTCTCACCCAGACGCCGCCCTCTTGCAGACCATAAGGCGGTGGTCGTGCGCTGTTGTCGTAAGCGACGCGACCTAGACCAACGCCTCCACCACCGACAACTCGGCTGGGTGGGTATGGGACCTCAGCAAGGATCAGCACAGTTCCCGACGCTTCGGCAAAGATCTTGGCAATTTCTTTTGGGCTTTTCTTGGAGCAATCGACATTGTTCACGCCCTTCACTGTCATACCCACCTGCAGTTCCGAAGTAGAAGCAGGTGTTCCATACTTGATGCTACTGACAACCACCTTTTTGTTCATGACACCAAGACCGATCCCGACTGGTGATCCAGGTGTCTCCTTGATCACTGATACTGTGATGAGGGCACCCGGTGACAACTCTGGTTGCTTTGCAACGATCGTGACCGTTCCTTCCGCTTCCATCAGGATCGTTGCTGCATCCGCAACTGGGAGGCCTTCACATTCGACGTTGTTGACACTCAACACTTGCATACCAACTTTGAGGTCGGTCTCTGACATCTTCCCACCAGGAACAATCTTACTGACAAAGAGTTTGTTACCCTTCTCTCCGAGAAGTAGACCAACCTTCCCACCTTTGTCCTTCATCACTGTTGCGGTGATAGTTGCTGGCTTGGTCTGAAGGGTGCTATTTTCGATCAGTGACATGTCGAAGTCGAGCATGGATTCAGCGGCGATGGTGAACATTCCGGTTGTTGCAGTCAAAATCTTGGAGGCCTCTTCTGGCTTCTTGCCATTGAGATTTTGGTTGTTGATTGACCTGACAGCCATTCCTGGATACAGCTCTGTGAACCAAGCCTTCGAGCCCTCTTTGACGTTTGTAATGACGATCTTCCCCGTTTTGTTCGAAGAGCCAAGACCAAGTCCGATGGATTCGGACTCCCCTCTATTGATCGGCACTGCAATAATTTCGCCAGGACCCAGAAATGGTTTTTGAGCCAAAAGGGTCACAACACCAGGGGTTTGTTCAATGATGGCAGTGGCTTCGTCGGCCGTTCGTTTTGAGCAGTTTGAGTTGTTTATGCTCAGCAAAGTCATACCGGGTCGAAGCCCAGATTTGGCAAATTTGCCGCCTTCGGCGATCTTTGCGACCATCAACCTTCCGCCCTTGTTCATCAAGGTCAATCCGAGCTCAGCTTCGTCATCGTTGTCAATGGCCGCAACTGCGAGGGTCTTGACAAGCGTGAGAGCGCCGATCTTGTCGTCTTTTGGTGTTTCAAGCAGGAGTGTGACCAACCCATCAGTCTCTGCTAGAACCTTCGCGACATCACCTGCGGCCATATCCTTGACGGGGACATTGTTCACCTGTCGGATCACCATTCCCTTTTGGACCTCAGTTGTTGCCGCAGGAGTGCCGTCGCCGATCTTCGTGACGATAACTCTGTCCTTAGATTTGCCGAGTCCGAGTCCAACCTTCGTACCCAATGATGTCTTCTTCAGCGTGGCCGCAACAAAGACACCAGCACGCTTCAATGTCTTCCTTGCAAGAATCGTGAGCCAACCGTCGTCTTCCATCAGACGAGCCGCCGAGGTCTTCGACAAGACAGCACAGTCAACGTTGTTGATCTTCAAAACTTCCATGCCAACTCGGAGACCACTACCAAACAGAACGCCGTCTTCGTCAATCTTCGACACAACAGTCTTTCCGCTCTTCTTGTCAACCACCAAGCCAGCTTTGGTGTCCTCGTTCATGGGGACAGTCACAGTCAACAACACAGATGCAGGGGCTGATCGTTGTCCTTCGCTTGGTGCTTCTGCAACAATCGTTACCGTACCAATCGCTTCAGTTAACAACTTCGCAGCAGAGACGGCATCTTTGCCAGCACAAGATACATTGTTGATCGATTTCACGATCATGCCAGACTTAATATCAGTCTCCGATGCAGCTGAACCTTCGCTGATGCCCTTCACAACAATAAGACCGCCAGCAGCAGCAAGTCTTACTCCAATCTTGCTGTGGACATTCTCCTTTGAGATGGTCGCAGTTACCATTCCTCCGGCCGGCACAACTGGTTTCTTGGCAAGGATGGTGAGGTCTCCTTCTACTTGTTGCAGATGTGCAGCAGCATCTATCACAGATAATCCAGCCCCTTGCACATTGTTGATCGCCATCACCATCATACCGACGCCTAGACCGGTTGCTGCTAAAAGCCCACCTTTGTGAATCTGCGAAATATACAGCTGACCCTTCTTCTCTGCCAAGGTGAGCCCAGTTTTTTCATCTTTGTTCTTCTGGACGGTGGCGGTGACGAAGGTAGGATGGGCTTCTTCTGATTCTGCGCTGGGCATCTCTGCTGCAATTGTGATTGTTCCTTCCGTATTGGCAAGAAGGTTTGCGGCATCAACCAGCGTCATGCCAGAAACGTCCACGTTGTCGATGGTTCGAACTATCATTCCGGGCTGAAGTTCAGTCAATGCTGCCAAGGTACCATCACGGATCTTGGTAACGTAGATGTGTCCATTCTTGGATCCCATTCCAAGGCCAACCTTTGTGTCAGGGGAATCCTTTTGGATTACTGCTGTGACGAGATAGCCAGCTGGGAACTGCTTCTTCCGTGCAAGGATTGTCACCATTCCCTCGTGCTCCATCAAGTCTGTTGCAGACTTAGCCGACAGCACAGAGCAGTCCACATTGTTGATCGTCGCCAACTGCATTCCGACGCGGAGCGGGGTTCCGAAGATCAAACCACCCTTCAAAATGTTTGTGACAACAAGGTATCCACCCTTTCGGGCAATAGTGACTCCCAAGTCCGAATCACTCGTCTTGTTGACGGTAACGGAGCATATAGTAGCCATCGAGTCCGTGCTTGGAGCAGCTTTGCCCTTCTCGGCAGTTGCTGCAAGGATAGTTAAGGTACCCTCACCGTCCACGAGAAGTTTCGCCACGTCCGACGTACTCAATCCGCTACAGTCGATGTTATCGATGGCGCGGAGGGACATGCCAGCTTCCAGCGGAGTGTTCGACGCCAAAGAACCTTCAGCAATTCCAGTAATTCGGATCTTGCCTGACTCTTCTCCAAGTTTCAAACCCACCTTGGTGTTGGCCGATTCCTTCGTAATCACGGCAGTCACCAAAGAACCAGGTAGAAGGACGGGAAAGCAAGCAACAATGGTCAAGTAGCCGTCGGATCCCTGTAGGAGAGCCGCACAATCTGGCGCTTTCTTTCCTGCGCACTGCATGTTGTCAATCGAAATGATCTCCATTCCAACCTTAAGAGTGGTGGCTGCCACGAGTCCTTCGTCGTTGATCTTGGAAACGTACACCTTCCCTCCTTTGTCTGTCAACGTCACGCCCACTTTCGCATCTGGCTCTTTGAATACAGTTGCCGTGATTGGTGTTGGTTCGGAGGCTTCTTTGGATTCTCCGACCTTGCCAGGAATAGCCGCGACAATGGTAACAACACCTTCACCTTGAGCAAGGAGGTTGCCAACTTCAGAAGAATCCATGTCAGAGCAATCAACGTTGTTGACCAATCGCATCTGCATTCCAGCTCGCAGGTCCGTTGGGGACGCCAAACTATCATTCTTGATGCCAGTAATGTAGCACTTGCCTCCAATAGTACCGATTCCCAGTCCCACCTTCGTGTCTGCGCTTTCTTTTGTTAACACAGCGGACACAAGGGTTCCAGACGGTAGACTCTTGGTTTTCGCGAGGACAGTCACTTTTCCATCAGCCTCTTCGAGCATAGTGGTCACATCGCCTGCAGTGCGGCCTTCGCACGACGCTCCATTGAGCATCAACAGCACCATTCCCGCACGCAAACGAGTCTTGGACCACACGCCATCCTTTGCGACCGATTTCACAACAATACCATCATCTTCATCTTCGAAAGTGACGCCGCTTTCAGCATCAGCAGGTTTGTCCACCGAGGCCGTAATGAGCGTCGGGACGGGAGCAGAAACTGCGGAATTGTCTGGGACCTCGGCCAAAATGGTGATAAGGCCAAATGAACTAGCCAGGATCTTAGCAGCATCCATGGAGTTCTTTTTGGAGCAGTCAACGTTGTTGATAGCCCTGATGACCATACCACGTTCAAGAGGTGTCGTGGACGCCAAAGTACCATCCCTAACTCCTGTGCAAACAACCATGCCATGGGAAGTTCCCAGCTTCACGCCAACCTTTGCGTCCTCGCTGTCCTTTCTGACAACAGCAGTAACAAGGGTTCCGGGGGGCAACACAGGCTTGCGAGCCAACAGTGACAAAGAATCCTCCGAAGTCAAGAGCGTTGTTGCTGCACTTGCACTAAGAACGCCACAGTCAATATTATTGATCTTGAGAACCTCCATTCCTGGACGAAGGGACGAACCCATGAACTCTCCTTCCTCGCTGAGCTCTGAAACAACAAGCTTTCCATTTTCACGGACAAGCTTCATGCCGACGGCTGCGCCAGCTGCGCTTACTGCACTGACAGTTACAAAAGAAGCCAATGCAGGAGCGTCAGCTTGAACTCCACGAGCCCTTGGTGTTTCTGCTAGGATCGAGATGCTTCCCTCTGCCTCTTTGAGTAGCATGGCCGCCTCTGGAGGTCCCATGCTCGTGCAATCGACGTTGTTGATAGTCTTGACGATCATACCCGACTTGAGTTCCGTCTCCGCGGCCAAAGAGCCTTCAGCAGTGCTCGAGACCACAAGAACCCCTGCGGCAACACCAAGGCGGAGACCAACCTTCTGATCCGGGCTCTCTTTTGTGATAACCGCAGTAACAAAAGAGCCAGGAGGCAACGCTGCCTTGCGGGCAAGCAATGTCAAGGTTCCTTCGGATTCTGCGAGTACCTGTGCAACCTCGGCGGATGACATTCCAGCAACTATAGCGTTGTTGATCGACAGAAGCTCCATACCAACCGCCAAGCCACTAGCGGCAACCATACCGTCAGGTTTGATCTTCGAGACGTAGATCTTGGACGCCTTGTTGGCGACGGTGAGACCAACCTTGTCCTCCTTTTGCTTTTCGAAAGTTGCAGTAAGAAGCGAGTCGAAGGATGGACCGGATCCAGCGCTTGGAGCTTCGGCCACAATGGTCACCATTCCTTCAGTCTCCTTCAAAAGCTTGGCAGCTTCAGATACCTCAATTTCACTGCACTCCACATTGTTGATGGTCCTTACAACCATACCCACTTCTAGATCAGTGGCGGCGGCAAGAGTGCCATCCTTGAGGTTTGTAATGACTGTTGCACCCTTGAACGAACCCAAACCAATTCCAACCTTGGCGTCCGAGTTCTCTTTCGTCATGGTCGCCGTGATGATTGTACCAGGAGGAGAGCTGGCCTTCTTTGCGAGGATAGTAACTGATCCTTCGGCTTGTGAAAGCAATGTTGCTGCTTCGGTGGGAGACATAGCGGTGGAATCCACATTGTTGATCTTAACAATTTCCATTCCTTCACGTAGCCTTGTGTTTGCCACCATGCTACTTTCGCCAATGGAGCCAACGGTAAGCTTTCCATCTTGGTTGTTAAGCTTCACTCCAAGCTTGTCGTCCTTTTCTTTCTTGAAGGTCACCGCGAAAAGACAAGCCACTGGCAATGTCATATCCGCACCGGTTCGTGCTGGCTTTTCTGCGAGGATAGTAACTGTTCCGACTGATTCCTTGAGGAGTTTGGCTGCAGACTCAGATGTTCTCTTCGTGCAGTCGACGTTGTTGATGGCCCGGACTACCATGCCTGGTTCAAGGTTTGTTGTAGCTGACACGGTTCCATCGCGGACTTTGGTAATAACGATTACTCCGTTGGATTGTCCAAGCCCAAGCCCCACCTTGGTGTCTTCTGTCTCTTTATAGAAAGCTGCCGTAAGGAGCGTTCCTGGAGGAGGAGACACTGGCTTGGCAAGAATCGTAAGAGAGCCTTCCTTCTTGAGGAGCTCATTGGCTGAGGTTGCGCTTAAAACCCCAGAAACAACATTGTTTATCGACACAATTTGCATGCCAACACGGAGCCCAGTGCCAAACAATGCTCCTTCCTCTTCAATCTTGGTAACCACCAAGTGGCCTTCCTTGCGATCCAGTGTAACACCAGCAATGGCATCTTTTTCCTTGTATGCAGTGGCAGTCACGAGGGAGGAAATCACCGCAGATCCAGCGCCTCCACCTCTGCCTGTTGGAACTTCCGCGAGAATAGTGAGAATCCCCTCTGCTTCAATCAAAAGGTTGGCAGCTTGAGCAACCTGCAAACCAGTGCAGTCCTCGTTGTTAATCGATCTAACAATCATTCCGGTTTCCAAGTCGGTTTCCGATGCAAGCGAATCTTCAGCCAATCCTGCAACGACGATGGTACCACCAGACAATCCGAGCTTGAGCCCGACCTTGGTGCCGGTGCTTTCTTTGGTAACCGAAGCTGTGACGAGAGAGCCAGGTGGAAGACGAGGCTTCCTAGCTAGAATCGTCAATCTGCCTTCAGTATTCTGCAACATTTCAGCAGCTTCCGAGGTGCTCTTCGTCATACAGTCGACATTGTTGATAGTGGCGACCTCCATTCCTACCTCAAGTGCAGTTCCTGACATCAAGCCGTCATCAGCAATCTTGGTGATTACCAAGACGCCGCCCTTCTGAGTAAGACCAACTCCGACCTTGGCACCCATCTCCTTGTTGACGGTGGCTGCATAATATTTGGGAGGCTTGACTGGCACCGCAGAACTTTCAACTACTTCAGCGACGACTGTAATTGTGCCTTCAGCCTGAGATAAGAGCTTGGCCACCGCCATTGAATCCTTGCCGTCGATGTTCACATTGTTCACACTGCGAATGACCATCCCAGGACGTAGGTCTGTGGTGGCACCCAAAGTACCATCTCTAATCTTGGTCACGACGATCAACCCATTGGATGATCCAAGTCCCAATCCGACCTTAACACCGGCTTCAGCCTTGGTCATTACTGCAGTCATCAGAGAACCTTTCTTAAGTGCTTTCCTTTTCGCTAACACAGTAAGGACCCCTTCCTTGGCCATCAAAAGCTCAGACGCTTCCATCGTGAGTACGGCACAATCCACGTTGTTGATCTTCAGAACTTGCATTCCAACACGGAGAGCAGTTCCAAAGAAAAGCCCACCTTCTTCGATGCTTGTGACGACAAGCTTTCCGCCTTGTTGAGAGAGTGTCAGGCCCAGATTGGAGCCCTTGGAATTGACAACAGATGCTGCCACCAGGTTCGAAACGTCGGCACCGGATGTGCTTCCTGGTGAACGATTCTCTGCCAGGATGGTAATAATACCCTCGGAGTCTTTCAGCAAACCCGCTGCCTCCACAGACTGCATTCCTGAAAGGTCGACATTATTAATTGTCCTCATTGCCATGCCTTCTTCGATATCGGTCATGGACAGCAGTGAACCGTCAGATATGTTGGTCACCACCACTATGCCACCAGTCATTCCCAAGCGGATACCAAGCTTCGCGGCAGGGTCCTCTCTTGTGACTGCAGCTGTGACCAGTGCGCCTGCCGCCATGGCTGGTTTCTTGGCAACTATCATAAGGGTTCCATCCACCTGCTTGAAGAGCGCAGCGGCATCAGCAGAAGACTTCCCAATACAAGTCACATTATCAATAGCGAGAACCTCCATGCCAACACGAAGGTCCGTCTCGGCCAGCAAGCCATCTTCTTTGATCTTCGTAATGACTAGTCTTCCACCTTGCTGGGTGAGTGTGACGCCAACCTTTGCCTCTTTGTCCTTTGCAGCAACGGCGGCAACAAGATTCTTGGGAGTGGGCTTAGGTCCAGGAGTCTCCGCAACGATCACAACATTTTCACCTGCTGCAGCCAATAACTTCGCAACGTCAGGGGTATCCAATCCAGCACAGCTCTTGCCGTTAATGAGAATAATAACCATGCCGGGCTGGAGAGAGGTCTGAGAGGCAAGTGATCCTTCACCGATGCCGCTAACCATAACTTTCTCGTTCTTGAGTCCCAGACGAAGTCCAAGGCGTTCTCCCGGCCCCTTCTTGAGCACAGCCATCGTTAGGGCGTTAGGAATCGTGACAGGCTTGGTTGATTGTGCGCGAGGGATGGAAGCAGCTACTTTGGGAGCTGCCGCTGCCGGCTTGTCTGCAATGGCAATAACAATGAAAGTTCCTTGTGCTCTAGAGAGCATACCAGCTGCATCTGCAGATGATTTGCCTTCCAGCCTCTCACCCTCAATGCTGAAGAGCTCCATACCGGCAGCTAAAGCTGAGGCCGCAGCAATTCCTCCTTCTCTGACAGTAGTGATTACAAGCTTGTCGCCAACTTCAGACAATTTCAGGCCCAGCTTGGCGCCTGCTTCCTTGTGCAGCTCTGCTGTGATGTATTCCTTGCCATCTTCAAGAGGAGGTAGGTCATCCGAAGAGGTAGCAGCTGCAACAGCTGCTGCAGTTCCTGCAGCCGCAGCAGCGCCAGCAACAGCAGGTGCTATCGATCTGGATTCAGTTGCCTTGTCTGCGATGGCAATAACAGTGAAAGTTCCCTGTGCCTTAGCAAGCAATCCTGCTGCATCAGCGGATGATTTGCCTTCCAATGTTTCACCATCAACACTGTAGAGCGCCATGCCAGCAGCTAAAGCTGAGGCTGCAGCAATTCCTCCTTCTCTGACAGTAGTGACAACAAGCTTGTTGCCAACTTCAGAAAGTTTCAGACCCAGCTTGGAGCCAGCCTCCTTGTGAAGCACTGCTGTGACATATTCCTTGCCCTCTTCAAGAGGAGGAAGATCAGAGTCTGGGGCGGTAGCAGCTGCAACAGCCGCAGCTGTTCCTGCGACTGCAGCAGCGCCAGCAACAGCAGGTGCTATCGATCTGGATTCAGTTGCCCTGTCTGCAATGGCAATAACAGTAAAGGTTCCTTGTGCCTTGGCGAGCAATCCTGCTGCTTCGACAGATGACTTGCCTTCCAAAGTTTCACCATCAACACTGTAGAGTGACATACCCGCAGCCAAAGCTGAGGCGGCAGCAATACCTCCTTCTCTGACAGTAGTGATTACAAGCTTGTCGCCAACTTCAGACAATTTCAGACCCAGCTTGGAGCCTTCCTGCTTTTGCAAAGTAGCCGTAACGTATTCTTTGCCATCTTCAAGAGGAGGAAGACTGGGATCAGATGCAGAGGTTGCAGCAACAGCAACAGCAGCAGCCGATGTCGCAGCTGCAGCGGCAACAACAGCAGGAGCAACAGATTTCGCTTCTTCCTCGGGAGAGGGCTCAACTTCGCGTTCTGCTTCAGGCTCAGCCTCTGGCTCCACTGCAGGGTCTTCCGCTGGCTCAGGCTCGGCTTCGGTCTCTCCGCTTGCCGGTGCTTCAGGCTCAACATCAGGCTCTGCTGCTGTGGATGCAAGCGCCGCTGCGCCAGCTCCAATTGCAGCTGCTCCAGCTCCAATTGCAGCCGCTGTCTTGAGACCACTGCCCTTGTCTTCTTCTTCTGGTTCTTCAGGCTCCTCGTCTCCTTCTCCGGCTTCTTCTCCTTCTCCAGCTTCTTCGCCTCCTTCTGCGGCGCCCTCTTCGGCTGTTTCATCGGCGCCTTCAGCACCTTCGGCTGCTCCTTCCGCAGCTGCTGCCTCAGCCCCTGCTGCGGTTGACGATGCGGCAGGAACCGAAGCAGCAGTCGAGGATGCTGCATCACCTCCTCCTTTGACGAGGCTTGCAATGCCTACCCCAAGCCCAGCAACGGCTGCTCCAGTTGCAGCTAGAAATCCCATCTTGGCAGCGGTACTTGGTCCTTTCTCCTCTTCCTTCTCAGGGGGCTTGTCTGCAATAGCAACAACAAGCAGAGTTCCTTCTGCGTCAGCCAGCATACCGGCTGCTTCAACTGGGGACTTGCCTTTGACCGGTTCACCATTAATGCTGTAGACCAACATTCCAATGGCCAGAGTTGAGGCATCGGCCAAACCTCCAGGTTTGATATTCGCAATCACAAGCATATCGTCATCAGCCTGGGTTAGTTTCAGGCCCAACTTGGCACCGGCCTCCTTTGTAATGCTTGCTGTAACATATTCCTTGCCATCCTCCAATGGAGGCAGGGGAGCTTCCGCCGCCTCTTCAGGCTCGGCTTCTGGCTCTTCTGACGCTTTCGAAGCCAAAACCGCAGCTCCAGCAACTGCTGCTGTTCCTGCTCCAACTGCAGCTGCCGTCTTGAGAGCACTGCCGGAATCCTCTTCTGGCTCCTCTGCCGCCTCTGCTCCCTCAGTTTCGCCACCTTCTGCGGCATCTGGCTCCTCTGCCGCGCCGTCTCCCGCTTCTTCTCCCTCAGCTGCTGCTTCTGCTGGGACCGAAGCTGCCTCTGCAGCATCATCTCCACCTTTGGCAAGGCTGGCAACTCCTACAACAGCCCCAGCCGTGGCTGCTGCGGCCAATGCTGCTCCTCCTGCAATGGCTGCGGCCTTACTTGACTTCTCTTCTTCAACTTCTTCAGGTGCCTTGTCTCCAATTGCAATAACAGTCACAGTACCTTGGGCCTTGGCTAGCATTCCTGCAGCTTGCATTGATGTCTTCCCATCCACAGGCTCACCGTTGATAGTGTAAAGTGCCATTCCTTCCTCCAATGCCGAGTCAGCGGCCAAACCGCCAGGTTTGATCTTGGTGACAACCAGCTTGTCATCCACCTCTGACAGAGTTAAACCCAACTTCATGCCTGGTGACTTTATCAAAAGAGCTGTGATGAAATCTTTGCCAGGTTCAAGCGCAGGGGGGGGATCTGAACCGTCCGCAATAGCAGCAGCCGTGGCTGCAGTGCCGGCAACCGCAGCTGTAGCAACAGCAGCCTTGGCAAGATTGTTGGATTCGTCTTCCGGGGCTTTGTCTGCAATGGCCACAACCGTCAAAGTACCTTGGGATTTGGCCAGCATTCCTGCTGCCTGTACAGACGTCTTGCCTGCCACAGGTTCGCCATTGATGCTATAGAGCACCATTCCTACACCCAGAGTCGAGGCGGCAGCCAAGCCTCCTTCCTTGATCTTGGTCACAACGAGTGTGTCGTCCACCTCAGACAACGTGATTCCCAACTTGGCGCCGGGAGACTTTGTCATTGAGGCAGTAATATACTCCTTGCCTTCCTCCAATGCAGCCGCATCATCACCAGAATTGGCAATAGCAGCAGCCGTAGCGGCAGTGCCGGCAACCGCAGCAGTGGCAACAGCGGCCTTGGCAAGATTGTTGGATTCATCTTCTGGGGCTTTGTCTGCAATGGCCACAACCGTCAAAGTACCTTGTGCCTTGGCCAGCATTCCAGCTGCTTCTACTGAGGACTTGCCAGCAACAGGTTCACCATTGATGCTGTGAAGCACCATTCCTACACCCAGAGTTGAGGCAGCAGCCAAGCCTCCTTCTTTGATCTTAGTGACAACCAGCTTGTCATCCATCTCTGACAAGGTGACTCCCAACTTGGCACCTGGAGATTTCGTCATCAAGGCTGTAACATACTCCTTGCCTTCCTCCAATGCTTCCGCATCGTCACCAGAATCAGCAATTGCAGCAGCCGTGGCAGCAACTGCAGCTGTAGCAACAGCAGCCGTGGCCAGATTGTTGGACTCAGATCCAGGTGCCTTGTCTCCAATGGCGATAACAGTAATGGTACCTTGTGCTTTGGCCAGCATTCCAGCTGCTTCCACAGACGTCTTGCCCGCAACAGGCTCACCGTTGATGCTGTAAAGCGCCATTCCCTCTTCCAGGGCTGAGGTGGCAGCCAAACCGCCAGGCTTGATCTTGGTGACAACCAGCTTGTCCTCGACCTCAGACAAAGTCAGACCCAACTTCATACCTGGGGCCTTTGTCAACAAGGCTGTAATGTATTCCTTGCCTTCCTCAAGCGGAGGAGCACTATCACCAGAACTGGCAGCAGTGGTGGCAGTAGCAGCTGCCTTCCCGACGCTGCCAGGTTTGACGTCTCCACTCTTGCTGGCCACAATTGTCAAAGTTCCTTGGGCTTTGGCCAACATGCCTGCCGCTTCTACAGATGTCTTGCCTTCCACGGGCTCATCATTGATGCTATAGAGCACCATTCCTACGCCCAAGGCTGTTCCAGCCACCAGTCCACCTTCCTTGATTTTGGTGATGACAAGCTTGTCGTCCAATTCGGATAGTGTAACTCCCAGCTTGGCGCCTTGCTTCTTCTGTATGACGGCAGTAATCATATCCGAGTCCCCATCCGTAGCACCCGATGCTTCCTCGGTTTCCTCCTTGAACGCCAGGATGGTAATCGTCCCTTTTGCAGCAATCAAAATTCCAGCCGCCTCCGTAGATGATTTTCCAACCACGACAATGTTATTGATACTGTAAATTTCCATCCCCAGAGCCAAAGGGGTCTTGGCCACCAATCCACCTTCCTTAATCTTGGTGACAATGAGTTTACCCTCGGTTTCTGTCAGGGTCAAACCCAGCTTCATTCCTGTCTCCTTCTGCAATGTAGCCGTGACAACTTCTTTCATGTGATAATCGGCTGCCTCGGAAGTCTCACCGACCACCGTCAGATTCCCGACTGCATCCGCCAACAGCTGTGCCACAAACATGGCGTCCTTGCCAACACAATTTGTGTTATTGATGAGGCGTATTGCCATCCCACCACTCAAATCGGTAGAAGCAGCAAGGGTTCCTTCTCGAATGCTGTTGATCATCACTCGACTGTCTCCATCTTCCAAACGTAGGCCAACCTTAGTAGTGGGTGCTTCCTTGTTGAACGTACCGGTCACAAAGGCGCCAGGAGGGTGTCGTGCCTTGAGGGTCAACGTGCCGCCCGTTTCCAACATAATTTTTGCGGCGTCCGTCGAAGACATGGCAAACGCACTCTTCCCATTAATCTCTAGCACCTCCATGCCAACCTCGAGGCCTGACTTGGCATTATCCATGGCTCCGCCTTCCGCTATTTTCGTGACATAAAGCTTGTTGGCTTCACTAGTAAGCTTAAGGCCGAGCTTGCCACCCTTCTCCTTCTGCACCGTTGCCGTGATTACCATCTTATCTTGTTCGTTTCGTAATAAAAGATAAGATCTCGTGGGGATATCGATGCTACTACGAAAATTAAAAGGGATACCGATCAAGGCGCGCTGCGGTGGTTGTTGTTATGAAATACTGAACAGGTCTATCGATGATGACAGCTACTAGACCAATAGTTGTCGTTTAACTTTCGTGTTGAGAGAGGAATGGCACCCTATTGGCCCTGTCGTGGTGGGTGTGGGGTGCTGCTGTTGTGATGTGCTTGCGGTGCAATAGATAGATGAGGGTGGGGGGACTTGCTTCACAATTGTTCTTTCGCCATCGATACTAAGGGTGAGGGTAGCATTCGGAAGAAAATTGTCGAGGCTGCGTCTTTTCTCACCATACTATTTGCCAAAGTGCGATTTTTCAATGCCAAAAACAGTACAGTTGTGTACCCAAACGGGAAACGCTTGCTCTCGCCTATATTGCTCTCGCCTATATTACAAAAATCGTGACCCCAAAAGAAGGTTTGGAATTAGAGCTGTGGAAGAGAGACTTTGGCTTTTGTTTTAGCCGTTACTCGTCAGTGGCGGTGTCCCGCAACTTGAAGCGCCAAAAAGAGAGTGCGGCCGGTTTCGTTCTTTTGACGAGAAAAAGCAAGGTTCCAACGAGTTAGACTTATGGGAAAGCCAGTCTGTCACTGCAATCTACCGGCAGCTAGCCAGATCCAGCTACGGTACCGGTACTAGTATGGTACCTTGGGTATCTATCCAAAGCTACTAGCTAGATCTAGTATCCTGCGGAGCTGATGGATAAGCGGTACGAATTCTTATAGCATGGGATGTGGTTGGGTGTTGTCGCAAAAGTACACCCAACTCGATGAAGAAATCCCTGGTCCAGTCTGTGTGGGCTGCAAATCAAGCCCAAGCTAGCGGGTTGTTGGGCTCAGTAACCATAGGAAATAATACCATGAAGGTCGATACCCTGCTCCAGTTTTCAGACTGTAAAATAAATTTCTGAAACTGGACTACATTCGGAGGGCAAGGAGCACGAATGAAGCACATCCGCTGTTTTGCTTCCGAGTCGAGGCGAGCCGTTGCCTGTACATGTACCAATACTGCTTATACCGATACCATCCCTTCGAGGTGCGTCTATGCCCATCAAAACCATCCATTGTTGAATGAGGAATCATTGGTGGTATTCTGGGCGGGCTGCTGGCTGCTGGGCTCCGGTTACCTTAGACTTAGCGTGGCATGTCTCGAGTCCGAGTCTCTCTGTCTTGCTCCTGTCAGACTCGACTCTTACTCCACGCTTGGGTAGCATTCCCGTGGCCCAAAGGAGCTTCTGGCCAGCACCAGCAATATCCTTGTTCTAGCTAGCTAGTCTAGCACCTTTGCATTGGCTCCTACCGTATCCCGCGCCGAAAGCGGGATGTGTAGCTGAATCCGGTCCTTAATTATTGAGCGTGAAGGAAAGCATTAACCCAGAATACAGTAAAAGCATTAACGCAATATCTTTTTGACCAAGGATCGCCTCCAACCACTCACAAAACGAGAAAGCGAGAAAATAATCTCGAGGAAACCAATAATAACCACCACAGTTCTTCCCTCAGCGGGAAAGCCAAGCAATGATGAACCCTCATCTGCTTCTACCTGTGCGAAAGAAATTGGTGTGCCACTCTCTGACCAGAATAGGTGGAAGATCATGTTCCCATGAGTGGCAGACTTCCAAAATGGTGATGCAAGGGCGATTCTTGGCCACTGGCAATGGCACAACTTCTGCAGCTGACCCAAAAACAAGTAGTAGTAATCGCCAGCAATTCAAAGAAACTCATGTGCACCCCTCCATTCGACGCTACATTGACATGATTGGAGTTGGAATTCCCTCTCGACGCAAACGATCACGACAAGGATTGTGGGAGGATTTGGACGAAGGGCGTCGAACGAATACGACATCTCCTCCTCCTCCCTTTGGTGCTGAAGGCGGACAACATCGTGTCGTGGTGATTGGAAGTGTCTCCACCACGCAAGATTCGCTACCCACCAATCAAGAGCGAATCCCCGAAGTGGCTTTGGCGGGACGATCCAATGTGGGCAAATCGACGCTCTTGAATGCGCTCCTGTATGGAAATCGAGCTCGTCGAAGACGACCCCATGACAAAAATGATACTGACACTGACGACGACAATCCACTGATTCGCAAGTTTGTGAGAGGAGGGACTCCGGAACATTTGAAGCTACCCAAGGGTATCAAAGCCAAGGTGTCCTCCAAACCAGGCGAAACCCAAAAAATTACCTTTTATCAATTGGCACACACTGCTACGTCCGAGGATGAGACCTGCAAGTTGCGGTTGGTGGATTTGCCAGGCTTTGGTTTTTCCTTTACCCCCAAGAAACACGATGGATTTCAAGAGTTGATCCTGCAGTACTTGCTGGAACGAGGCAAGCCTCTCCTGCAACGTGTCCTGCTCTTGCTAGATGCTCGGCATGGACTCAAAAAGGCTGACCTAGAGTTTCTAGAAACCTTGCAGGAGGAGGCACGGAAGGTATGTTGGCTAGCTACCTAGCTACTTTGTGCATCCAATAATCATTGCTTCATGCACTTCTCTGCTTTCTGAAACGAAGCCACTCACTAGTCGCTGGCTGCTCTGCTCTGTTCTTTTGATTTGATAGAATCCCACCAAACGCAAAATGCCACCCATTCAGATTGTCCTGACCAAGTGCGATCTGGTCCAACGCGACGATCTGGCTCGGAGAGTGGTACAGGTTCGACGGGGATTGTCGGATGTATTGCGGCGGGAAACCAGTGCCTTGCCCGTGCTGCTAGTCAGTGCCAGAGCGGGGGTGGGATTCAACAATATCCGACCGCGAGGTGGACATGTGACTCGAGCTCGTGGGGGTGTCCTGGAACTCCAAAAGGAACTTGCAGCGTTGGTACCGGAAACCAACAAGAAGAAACTGCGTCATACTGGTAGCAAACGCCCGGCTGCTGGCAAGAGAAGAAAACCTACGAAACGGTTAAAGTAATAAAAGAACATGGTGGACATCAACTTTATTCTTGCAGTTGCTACTAGCAAAGCACCTCTAGGTTTCTCTAGTAGAGGCCCGTAGTTCATCAAAGGATATGTTGTTGATGGCATCAACGGAGTTGAATAATGGCCTAAACCAATGCTTGACGATCTAGTCAACGAAGATCTGTGTGTGCGTTCAAATGGAAAAAGTGAACTGCCTCAACGAACACATTCTCGCTCCTCATCAAACTTCCATTCTAACCGCATTGGATCAGAGACTAGACCCAGACCTTTGTAATGTGTTCTTTGAGGTTGTCGTGTCCTCTGCGAGGCGACCAAGTCTGTGTTTGTTTCTGTGCCTCAATTGTTGCCTTGGAAAAAGTCACATCGATTTATTGTCGGGTGGTTTCTTGTATTAACAATATATATATATATTTCTACGCACGCTCCCGTAACAATCGCTGCGGTGTGCTGTATCCCATGGCCAAATCATAATCTTCAAATACTGGGTCAAAAAAGGGCAATGCCCACGTCCAGTAATCCCCAATCCCAAAAATATCTCGTAGTTCCATTGGTTCATCGTCGACGAGTCCCCATGCATTGTCGGCTTTTAATTTGAGTCTGTCAATGGTCCCTACTCCCGTCATGACCCCAAATGTGACATTGGTAATCATGCTGGATGTGAAAATGAGTGCGGAAATGCACATGAGCGTCATGAGTCGTACGAGCTGTATCAAGACGGGTGAAAAAGTACAGGATTCATCGGCACAGAAAAAGTAATTCCATCCAAACATCATGAGTGCAAAGGCGCAGGCTATCCAAGTGTAGACTAGAAAGAGAACAAAGTGTTCTGTGACAATGAAGCAGACAGAGACGAACAAGTGAGTGAGACACACAGTGCAGCCAGTCTATGATGACTTTGTACAATACTCACTCATATTCCCAGTTCCAACACAATTATTCATCCAAGGACAGTGATCTGATTGAAGCAAAGAACAAATAATGTAAGTAACACTTGCAATTCCCCCTCATAGTACAATCATCGTCCTATCTTCACACTTACGATCCATTCCACTGATACATCGATCACAGATTCGACAATGATGTGTCCCTTTGGGTTTGTAGGATTGGCATCGACTGCACATGGCATGGGCCGCAGGAGTGTATACATCGACGGGTACTGCCGCCAACGGAATGGATCCTGGATCCGTAAAGGATGTCTTGGCATGACTAGCAAGTGCCATGGCACAAATGGTAAAGTATATTTTGGCCAAGATGGGCGACAAATGATTGTGTTGGGAGAGTAATCCCACCGTGATCCCCGAGTAGACTTTTGGAGTGAAATGAATGCAAGAAAGGCAGAACCAAAATGGTTGGTGAGACCCCAAAAAGAGGTGCGTGGGAGGCTGAAAACGGTGCCAACAAAAATGCGGATTGCGTGTTCCAAAAGTTGCTTTTGCCTGCCACCACTTACTGACTAAAATCCAAACCGTGGACGACATGATTGTCCCCACCCTGTCATGCACATTGAGCCAGATTCCGTCCTGTATCGTCGTAGATAGTGATAGATTGCCAAATAAAAAAATGGTCACAAAGAAAGAATTCCAATGAGCTGAAAGCTTGTATACCCCCATGAACATACATAATGAAGACTTGCGCACAAAGCCTCGTTACTCACATCTTCATCTGTCCCAAACGAACAAGCCCAACTATCACCATTGTAGGTATCTTCATAATAGGACCGTTCCAAGGACGAGGCAGGAGGAGAACAGAGTCGTTCGGGATCAATGTGCTTGGAATCCCGATCGGCACACGCCGTGGCCCGAATCCGTCCCCGTAATACTGGCCAAAAACCCACCACGGTCTCTTTGAATCGATTCCAATGGGACCGTCGGTCCTTTTGATCAGCATTATTATTATCAAAGGAGGTTGGATACATCGTATAGTCGGCATCGTTGTGATTTTGAAAGCCTCGTCGGTTGTGAGGGTAGCCGATGCGTTGCCATTCGTCTCCTCCGCCGCCAACGAGTGGAGTGACTTCTCCCAAGTTGGATGTCATGGTCGGTCAGGCTGCTACATGTACCACCTCGAGTTGCACCTAGATATCATCAAGGACAACAACTACTGTCAAAGGAAGCTGCCTTGGGGTTTTTGTTCTTTCCAAACGAGTTTTGGTTCCATTGAGCGAGGTGTACTATCGTTGGATCAGTACTCCGCCGTTATTTAAATGCCAATGCGATTAAGGTTCAGGGTTTCAACTTGGGTTCTGAGCTTATTTCCAAAGATCTTGCAATTTGCTGTCGGTATATCTTTGCCACCGACAACGGCCATTTTCGCCAGGATAACACAATCGTATTCTCAAACTTTACTACTGTACTTACAACCAAGAGACGAGTGATCATTGGTCCAATTTCTAAAGGAGAGGATAGCGTGAGGTTGTTTGTTGGCTATTTGTAGGTGTGGTGCTTCCATAGATTAGATCCGGACAGTGGCTTGTTATTATTGAGGGGCTTGTGTGATTGTACAAGTGAGGGCAGATACCCTTCTCTTCCATTTATCGAAGAGGTTCTTCTTCTACCGGTATTAGCTTCTTCAGTCGTACAGTATCCAACCATGAGCGACGAACCAGCCGCCGCAGACAGCAATAAACGCTCCCGAGAGGAGCAAGCAGCAGCCGATAATGATGCCGGAGATGCTGGTAAGTCAAGCAGTCAGTCAGTCAGATACCCATGGACGCAGAAAGAAGTAGAGCCTCTCTCATCATTATTTTTGTCTTGCCCTTACTACTATCGCATGATTAGAACCTCCTGCCAAGGCGATCAAAGCATCGGAAGATGGAGCTAACGCCAGTAGTGACGCAGCCGCCGGTTCGGACAAACCAGCCGAAGAAGCCAAGAAAGAAGAGCCGCCCAAGACGGAGCCAGCTCCAGCACCTGTCCCCGCTCCAGCTCCTGCCCCCGTTCCAGCACCAGCTCCTGTCACTGCTCCTGCCACTGCTCCTGCTCCTTCGGGTGTTCCCACTGGTACAGGCGCCCCTTTGCAACAGCAGCCACAACAACCCGTCTATTCTCCGGCGGCACTGTCACCAATGCGGCCCAATTGGTCGAAGAAACCGGAGAAGTCTCGTCGCTCTACGTTGGAAGAGTCATTGGCAAGGGCGGGGAAATGATTCGCGATTTGCAAGCACGGTCGGGTTGTCGCATTGACGTCGATCAGAGCGTCCCGCCCGGACAACCCCGTATTATTACGTACCGTGGAACCCGCAAAACGGTCGACTTTGCCAAGCGCCTCGTCCAAATGCTCTGCAATGAACACGTCAACGAAGCCGATTTGCCATTGGGAGAAGCCCGACGAGAAATCATGGCCGTACCGGGCACCAGCGTTGGGAAAATTATTGGACGCGGTGGGGAAATGATTCGGGAATTGCAGTCGCGATCGCATGCCAAAATACAGGTCGATCACAACAATCACGGCAGTGCCGGACTCCCGGCCCATCAGAAACGATTGACCATTACCGGGACGGAACAATCCGTCGTTAAAGCCAAAGAGATGGTCAACTTTTTGGTCGCCAATCCCATGATGGATGCCATGCAAGCATTGCTCATGTTGGTAGAAGACAAATTGCAACGTGGAGGAGTGTGGGGATCGGGACCACCCTATATGAATTTGCCCAATATGGGACAAAACATGATGCCTCACATGGCACCGGGAGCTCCTGCCGGAGCGTATCCTCCGGCCGGTGGTGCCGATCCGTACGGTGCTCCGTCACCCGCGGCGTATCCACCTCAAGCGGGAGGAGGATATCCTCCCGCTCCGGCCGCGGCATCGCCGGCACCTGCCCCCGCAGGATATGGTGGATTGGAAACGGAAATCTTTTATGCCGCGAAAAATTTCATGGGACGGATTATTGGACAAAAGGGAATCACCATCAACGATTTGCAGCGACGGTCGGGATGCGATATTCAAATCAATCAGGATGTCCCGCACGGATCCGATTGTGAAATTACCCTCCGGGGACAGCGGCAGGGAATTGAATCGGCGAAACAAATGCTACGAGAGATTATCGAAATTGGTCCCAATCATCCCTATGCCGGTGGTTCTGCGCGTACGTTTTTGATGTTTTGGTGTTTGTGTGTGTTTTTGTCTAGCTAGAGGTCTGTTGCCCACTTATTGATTTTTGCGTTTCGTTTCCTTCTTTCCAGAGGGAGGAGGAGGTGGAGGTGGAGGAGCCTACGGTGGCGGCGGAGGTGGTGGCTACGGCCACGACCCCTATCAACAACAGCAACAACAACAGCACCCACCGGGATACGGATATCATCCTCAGCAGGCGTATGGTGGATACCCACCTCAGGCGGCCTATGGACACCAACCGTACGATCATCATCAACAAGCAGCCGCCTATGGATATCCACCGCAGTATGGCTACCAGCAGCCTCCTCAAGGTTATCATCAGCCTCCCGCAGCCTACGGATACGCTGCCGCGCCACCACCGCCAGCGGGAGCGAGTCCGTGGAAGAGTGCTGCGGCGGGAGATGGTCAGATCTATTACTACAACGAAAAGACGGGCGAGACGCAATGGGAAAAACCACCCGGCATGCCCTAGCCAGCCAGCCAACAAGACGACGGTGACACCAGTAAGAAAGCCGTTTCTTTCTCTGGTTCTCTTTCTTTCTATGTTTGATGTGATGCATGCATGCTTGTGCCCTGCTCGCTCTGTTCGACTTGACTGCATTGATGTCTTGTTTGAGACCTTGACCTGCAAGATTGTGCTCTGCTTGTGATCATTCGTCGCGCGTTTTAAAAAGAGTGATGTCTGATCTTCATATGGGCCTCTGTCCAAATGATGCGACCATGTCCCAACTTGCTGGGATCCTCTTCCTTTGATGTCTCGGATGGATTCGTCGTCTTGTTGATCGATGAAGCTGGTTCATGTTGCACTGGTGCCTTGCATTGCATTTCAGCTTTTCTTTAATAGTTTAATGTGTTTGTTTGAAAGTTTGGCTTTATCTGAGTGTTTACTTTCGTGCCGACGCTGTTTGATCTACGCTTTGGGTCCAAAGAGCTCGGTGCACCTCAGCGGAAAGGCCCATTCATCGGACTCGTCTCAGTGGATTGGCTGAACGGAATGAAGTCAGGATTATATCACAGAGTAACTCACCCCGCTCTAGCCTTCTAAGTAACTTTCTGTTTTCGTCCACCTGACTAAAACATGTTTTCGTCACCTTGACTAAAACTAACATTGACCATCCTTCCCAAATCATGTTTTAGTCAACAAGTCTAAAACCGGCGACTAGCAAGGTTGCATACAATTGTCAAGCGGAATCCAACAATTAAGCCAGCGGAGCTGTGTAACCTCGGCAGAATGGTTTCAGTGTACAAGCAGATACCCCTATTAGCTTGCTAGCTAGAAGCAGATACCTCTAGTGCTTAGCTAGTGCTTAACTTGTGCTTAGCTAGCTAGAAGCAGATTCCCATAGCAAGGTACTAGAAGCAGATACCCTAGCTAGCTAGAATACTAGTTATATAGCTTTCACTGGCTTTAGAGTTTTTCCTGGTAGAAGCAGATCCCCCTACTAAGATGCATGTAAATAGCTTTAGCTGGTTTAAAAGCACCATCCTAGGAACTTATTTAGTTTTTGCTGACTTATTTGTGTTCTAACCCTACCCTTATACCTGCAGGGACCACCGTAGCAGGAAAAACAATTAAAGGGGTTGAGGGCTCTGGCAGCAAGACTGCCGAGGTCAACGAGGCTACCAGGTAGCAGATGTTCAAGCACATTCTAGACTAGGTTTTTTATCATTATCTAAGCGCACTACCGGTACCGGTAGAGCTGACTGTCTTTGGATTTCAGTCACAATTGTTGGTGGGTGGTCCGACTAGGTACAGTGTAGGCGCTGGATAAACGCATCAGCACACGGAGAGCACAATGCAGGGCGAAACGACAGACAAAAACCAATCACAAAAAGGATCCGACCAAGGAAGGGTCATGTTGAAAGAGGCAGAACAGTGTCCGGACAAAGCGAACTTCAGTTACGTGTTCTTGCCGACGCGTTTTTGCCCTGTTTCGTTCGTCCCGCATCTTGCATCCAAACTTTTCCATGGCCTCCCGAAAAGCTCCTTGATTTTTAGTTGCTGGGAGTTTGGTACCCACAAACTGCCCGAAACCAAAGTGGTTCAGACTCAAGAGTTCCTCAATTCGTTGTGGAAGGATCGTCCCTTCCATAACCAAGGACAAAGTTCCCACAGTCCCATTCTTGCTGTACAAAACATCATGGATTTGCTGGCAGATCGGATTCTCTTCTTCTTCGAAAATAAACGAGACCATTTCCGCGCACCATGAGCTACTAGCAAGGTAAATCGGATGAAAAGCCACCGACATCAGTGAGGTATTGTGACGCAACAACTGCAGCAAAGGCTCCCATAGCTCAGCGGCGGTAAGATGCACGAAACCATCTTCTGCAGTTGGGTCTTTGACAAATGGCGAGTCAATGTTCAACTCGGTAATGCTTTCGTGTGAATCCAGCGCTTGACAGAGACAAGTAAAGTTCTGTAGAGAGATTATCATACTTCCAATGCGGAGCTTATTCAAGTGTGCCAGCGGAGCTCCCGTGTCATTGCGCTTGCGTTTTCCTGTTGTTAGGCCTTGGATTGGAGTCAAAGCCCGGATCAAGGGCTCAAGGCACACAAACTCTCTGCAGGACAAGTCCAATGAAATTAGATTTGTAGCGGAGCAAATAGTCTTCATTACTGACGGCTTCACTTCGGTGGAAATTTTTACGTTTGTAAGCTTATTTGACACAGTGATGCACTCCTTGGTGAGGGCGGCATCGATTTTCCACAGTGAAGAGAGCTTCTGGAGATCCACTTTCTTCATGCTGTCATATCTCTTGCAGGAAAAGCCGAAGCATTTCAGCTCAAGCTTGAAAGAGTTGCTCTCAAGCAGATAATATGTATACTGATCGCTAGAATCATGGTATTTTTCCATGGAGTAATTCCCACCAAGAAGGGGAAACAAGTACTCCCGGACAAGGCGAAGAAAGAAATCATGCTTCGGCATGCGGTTTCGCAAATAGATTTTCACAGAGCGCAGTTTTGGGAGAGATGCAACTTCCTGGAACAGCTTCTCGGCAACATGGGGGAGACGAACCAGCAACCCAGGCAGGCTACCAAGGAGCAACAGAACCTTTACTTCACCATGAAGCAACTGACCTGGCAATTGGCCCAGAATCTCACCCCGAGACGATGCCAAATCAACGAGAAGTTCGTTTTGGAAGCCATGGTCCGCCAGCGCTATCATATTGCTGTCGTGGGAGATGTTTACCCGAAGAGTCTCCGTCAAAGCGCTGGAAGATGGCATGATGTTCTTTTGGCTTGGGTTTATGCCGTGATTACGACAAGGAGAAGCTGCTGAGTGGCTTTGTGGCAACAAAGCAAAAGGCGCTGCTGTTGGATTTTGTTTTGGTGTTCGGTGCTGAAGATCCTTTCCAATGACGCACGACTGAATGTCCCTAGAACCACACCAGCCAGCTCCAAGTCCGCTTGGCTCCTCTGGAGAGAGCGTCCCATGTACCCTCGGTAAACAAAGGTACCTCGCAACAGGTAGAGCTAAAATTGGCAACTCTCCGGCTGGGTTTTGTGTTTGATTGCTATATCCAAAAGTTAGGCTGCGTCCAAATTCAGCATTATACCGGAACTGTAGTTTTGATCAAGCCGGCAAGATACCGGTATTACAGGTATTTTAGTTAGACCGTTCCTTTGCCCCTCGGTCGCTCTTGTGATGACCACACCACCACTGCAGCTGTTGACAGCACGAGCACGGGGATCCAACCGTACACAACCCAGACAAATTGTTTCTTCAGCGCTTTCAAGGAAGCGGCATTGTTGATCTGGCAATGTGGAAATGGCTCGTCCTTCGGCGGGACCTCCTTTCCAAGAAATTCGCATAGCGGTTCCCAGCCTTGTTTCACATTAAAGACGAGCAATTGATCCTTGGGGACATGATCCATAATATGCTGGTTGTGTCGTTCGTATTGTTCGGCCAACCATTCATCGCTGTTGTCTCCTCTGTCTCGCCACCCATGCGTCAAGGCTCCCGGCTCCAAACCTAAATGGGTCGTCCCCATAAAGTGCCGAATCTTTTTCAAATCACGAAAGAGGGGAATGTAACCCAAGAAACTAGGAAAAGTCCAGGAAAAAGTTTGCTCCGTCACCACCATGGTATCAAACAGGAGTTTCCAACTCTTGACAAAGGCTTGCGGGGAATCACGCACCGTCAAAACAACCTTGGCATTGGGATACTTGGCGAGTATGTCTTGGTAAATATCCGATGTGGGATTTTCCAACGTGGCCGTGTATCCATCCTGTTCAATTTTAGTCAGTACCGTTTCAATGGCACGGGCATCTTTACCCTGGGTCTCGGCAACTTGACACCAAGCAGCGCTGTGCGAGACATCCAAGTAATGATAGGGCTTGTACCCCAAGCGTTTGAGGGCTTCTGTCAAACTGAGAGTCCCAGTGCGCCCGAGGCCAGCACAAATCACCTGGATTCCTTCCGGCGACGCCTTCTCCTTGTGCTGCTGCTTAGACGCTGAAGATCCCATTATCGATTCAATTCAATTCGAGCAGATTTGAAGGTGGCTAACAAAAAGAAATTTGGAATGTCCTACTCAAGGAATCCTCTGGACTGTTGATGGAAAGAGACAATTGGAATGCGGCAGTAATAAAGAAAGGCGATGATGTTTCTGCCGACGTTGTCTACAACAGGTTCTACAACTCGATATCTAGACTACTAGTTTAGCAGTGGTTTTGAGCTTTACCAGTAGCCCTGGTACAAAATCCTACACAGCGAATGGCTCAATACCCACTTTGGATTTACAAGTGTAAACGGTACTCAATAGACTTAACACTATAGTCGAATGAGAACATCCAAGAAGGCCAAAATGTGACCAAAATCAACCTCTTTTATTATAGTATATGCTTGTCTCTTATGTTTGAGCTGTCACAGCAAATACAAACAATAAAGCACAATAAATTTGGAGTTAATTGCACTGGTGTTGATCCATTCTTATTGGAGTTAACAGAAGTTGCGGACTATTTTACAGCCAGAAAAGGAACTGTGTACTGTTTTACTATAGCGAAATGGATGTATTTTTTTCATGGCTCAGGACCACCCTTAAACTAGTATGGCCGTCATACCAACAGCTTGGCCTTCCCAAAAGATCTGTTTCTACAGAATTTTTAGGGGGGGTTAGGCTCCCGCCAGGGCGGGAGGAGGGAGGAGGAGGAGAGGAGGGAGAGGGTCAGATTCCATGTTCCGTCACAATGAAGGGGAGGTGCGGGCTTGCCAGTCATGACCTCTAAGTAACGTATCTTTGAGACATATGGAAATGAGGGGATAGGACAAGAAAGTCGGGGGAGTGTTAAATGAGTAGGTCACACCGTCATCGAAGTGTCAGCAAATTGCAGGTCTCACACTGGCTCCACAATTCAAATCTCAAGATCCGTTGCCCGGTCCCGAGTTGCTGCCACACCCTCCTCGCTAAATGGTACGCATTCCATTCAAAAAAATCATTTATTTGTTATTGCTACGATGGAGGAAGTGCATACCCGTGGAGACGATGACGGCAATTCGGATCATGCGGTGGACGTCCAACTCTTCTGCTTAACCAAGTAATGTAAGGCGAACAGCATCCTGTTGTATGCTGTTGAAAGGTAGGTGGAAAAGGAAGAATCGGATGCATTCGCTGCACCTGCAAACAAGCGATTTGCTGCTGCATCATTTGAATTTGAACCTGCTGCTGCTGCTGTTGTTGTTGTCGTCGTTGCTGTAGCTGTAGCTGTTGCTGTAGCTGTTGCTGTCGTTGTTGTTCCCGATACCGTATTAGATTACTTACATAGCTGTTGTTCCTAACTGTTGCTCCACCGGCAGGATTTAAATTTGAATCAGCGATAGCCACACCGGCACCCGCAGCGGCAGCGGCAGTTGGAGATGGTGGAGCAGCAACAGGTGCACCAACCGGCGCAGTGCACAGCGGACATAGACAGCAGTCGTTGGGTGCATACTTCTGGCGATGCGGTTTGAATTTAACCAAGTATTCGGAGAAGAATCGCTTGCCATTATCTTGGGGCAATGGCTCGGCATCTGGAAATGGCAGTATTGTTATTCCACAAGACGCAGCCAGTTCATTGACAAAGGTGAGTTCAGTGTGGTTCCAGAATGGAACAACCTTCTCCCAACCAAATGGAATAAGCTTCCTTTCCTCTTGCCACTCTGCTAACAGGAAGGTTCTTTTGTACCGAATGGTGAGATTATATCTGGCAGTGCCATACAAATTGAGGGCATCAGCAAGAGATCGCCGCATTCCTCCATTACCGAAATGGGCAAATCGGTCATGATATTTTTCCAGTTTGCTTTCTCCTCTTCTTGAAAGGAACTCTGACAGCTGATGTTTTGAAGTTGGGGATGGTGGAACGGTGTCATACATCTCTTGAAGGGGCAGCGGATCAGCTAAATGGACAGCTTTTTCAATGCAGTTTTCCACTGCTGGCTTGGTCTCTCGTGTGAACAAGGTAAGCTGTCGAATAGGATCCAATCGCCCTTGGCCTGGTTGACTGCCATCGCTTGCTGTAACCTTGTACCGACAGAACCACTGCTGCAACATTTGCCTCATTGTCTCTAGTTCTCTCATTTTCTTACGCAGGTATTTACCATATCTGGAACGAAAAACCTTGGTTGCCTGCAAATCCGTGATGTCTTGCATTGAGTAGCACCTGCCATTGGTGGAGAGCTTACCACCCTTCAAGGCAGTGAGAAGCTTCTCGTAATCTTCCAGTGCGTACTCATAGAGGCAATTGAGGAGCTCGGTCATTGCTTGCATGTAATCGATGTGGCCTTTTCTCATGGTTCCCAGCATTCTCTTTTCGAAATGGAACAGACCAAGTCTTCCTTGTATCCCAGGGAAGAGAATCTCCCAGAACTGATCCTTATTTGGCCAAGTGTCACTGTAGATGGCTGCCGGTTTAAAGTTGTCTCTTCGAGCCAATTGCATTGCTGCATGAGAGAAATGAATAGTCTTGGTGGTCGGAACAAGAACGGCAGATGCCACCTCTCCAGTCAAAGTCCCAGCATCCCACACTGCAACAGCTCCCAGACTCTTCACGTAGTTCTTTACTGGTTGGAAAGTATGGTCCTGAGCAAAGATCCCACCATCACATTTGACACTTTGGATTTCCCGGGTGTGTCTTTCTTTATCGCTGATCTGCCATGGGTTTCGATTGGAGCAGGAAGCATCATCATAGTGGTCGCGAATGGAATCACCCAAGGGTGGAAACTGTCTGATGTAAGTGCCGTCTTTTTCAATGAAAGGTTGAGGTGGTGTCTTGCTATCTTCCCAATAAGAGTAATAAGACATCATTCTATTCATGTACTCTCTGTTTATGGCGTTGTAGATCAGTCGACTGCAGACTTCCCCGTTTCCATAAGTGAGCATCAAGGTTTCGAAGACCTCTGTTGCCGTGATAAATGTGGTTTATATACCACAGAAATTGCCTCCACCAGCACCGAATAGATAAGATTTTTCATGATTTCATAGGATTAACAGTACGCCCTACCTTCGTAGACCCAGCAGTGACTTACCTCGTACCCCTGCAGTCGATTCCACCATCCTGCAAGGGCCAAGTCAGGATACATAGTAGTATCGTTCGGTCCCCGGGGAGTTTGGGTGCCATGGCCTGTGGTTCGATTCCTAGGATGGTTCAAGGATCGCACCTCCACCGTGGTGAAGCTCTCATGTCGGAAAGCGCCTTAGTCAGTATGCACTAGTTAGTAGCGCCCATAAGTCTTCTCATGCATTCTACAAGTCTGCAGTTAAGTACACACTACCCTGCAGGGCTAGAGAGGCACGACACATATATCCGCAAGCATGCACCAGTTCCGGGGGAGTTATAGTCTTCGCATTCCCCGTGACTCAATCGTACCATCCAACCGTAAAGACTTGGGGGGAGAAGTTCACCTCCAGGCTTAGAGATTGGCAAGTCTCTATAGTTAAATAGTACTCATGACGTTCCCTAGTAATGTACACATAGACTATGGGGGAGTTCTCTCTGAGAAAAAAAAAAAAAAAAAAAAAAAAAAATCCCCAATCGTGACTTAGTCGGAAACGGAACACTAGTGCCTCTAAGTTGCGTGCGGATAAACAGCCGCTCCGCAGTTTTATCCGCGAAGTGCCTCCAACCATCCGCAAAGTGCCTCTTTTTATCCGATGCTTTCTTTCAAGCTCCACCATGACGATCGGAGACCTCTCCAGCGGCCCCGAATGGCAACAATAGTCAACGTAGACAGCGTGGTGATAATCCAGATTGGTTATAGATGTTGATTGTTAAGATTTTCATGATAAGGCTCTTGTTGTTGTTTCGTTGCGGACGACGACTGGATAATAGACGACGACTGGATAATAGACGCGGACGACGATAGGATAATAGCCACGACATACCCAGCAATGTTTCCGGCAGACGCTAGTAGCCATTCTTGTGGCAATCCTCTCGATGGATATCAATACATGTTTTGGTGTTGTTGATTAGGCCCCTTCGTGGAATCGTCGAGCGGACACCAGCGCGAGTACCACAAACAGGTGTGCCAACGTACTCCTCTTGCTTGTAGTGAGAGATCTGGCGGCTGCAGGTCTTGTGAGAGCACTCATTCCTTGTATCTTTGCCACAGACAACACAGCGCCTTTTGGCTGGTTGATCAGAAGCATCTTTCTCTCGCTGTTTTATTGGATCATGGTACTGGTGTTGCTTCGAACCAAAATTGAAGGGCGCTGTTCCAACGCTCAAAGGTGAAGGTTCGACACCTCCTCCACCACCGCATATACTGACAGTCATTGTCTCCATTTGGCTAGCCAATCGATTGACTCCTCCAAACAAGGCGCTTGGCATACCTCCAAGGCGACTTGATAGCTCGGAATCCGTATCGGCAAGTCCATCAGCAGCAATGTCAGCCTTTCCAGTCATTGGAACGCCACTGTGGAAGGCATTGTTGTAGCAATCGTAGGCAAGCCTATCAGCAAACTCTTCGACAGACATGTTTCGAAACTGTGGAAGCCGGAATTTCAAAGCCTTCCACGCATCGATGATAGTGATGCCAATGATGGTGGTGACACACCGAAACCAAGGGTTCTTGGTCTTCCAATATTTCTCCAAGCCAAGCACTGACTGGCGAGCATGATTGTGCATGTCAATGGCGTTGTTGACACCAAAGTACAAAGATAGAGCCTCTGGTCTCTTGACTGATCGCTCGCGAACGTTGCCAAAAGGATCGGGGAACTTCGCTTTGTAGGGCTTGCCAAAGAGAGTGGAAGCCGCATCTTTGGTTGTCACAAAGCAGAGAGCTTTCTTTGAATTGTATTTGTATCCAATCGCCACAAGTTTGACCTTAACCTCCGGTGTGGTGCATTCCATGACAAGGTGAGACCCACTTGGCCACGACTTCATTGCTTCTTCAATCTGCTTCTTTGGAAACCAACCAGAGTTCGTCTTGACTGCTGCAATCAGTTCGTGGCCCTTGCCATTGACACCGGTTGATGTGCCGATGGTGTGGCCTCGAAATGAAGTGTATGCATCCAGCGTGGAAGCATCCGTCGGCTCCACCTTGCGGAGTAGCTTGAACGCTTCTGCACAGCGAACACTTCCGAACCAGGAATCTGCAAGCACAAGATGGCGCTGGTTGTTCTTCTCCATTATCTGCCGTTCCCGGGTTGCCACACCACAGTTCATACTGCCAAGTAAGAGCCGAAGAGTGCAGGCTGTCGTGGCTCCATTGATGGAATAGAATGGCTGCAATCTCATGGGCTTTGCTCCTCTCTGGATCTCCAAGAAGAGCATTATCCCAGTCAATGCACATGCCGCGCATTTGAACTCCGTCCCGAGTGGCTTTGGCTTCCGGAAAATGAAAGAGAGGAAAGGTAGCAGGGACGTCTTGGTGCTGCGAGGTTGGTAGGGGCTCATTAACTCATCAAGCACAATGATGAAGCACGCTACAATCCACCTCTTTCGATTTGCGTTGAAGTCGTCCACAAGACCAGCAATGGGATGCCATGGGTCTGTTGGATTCTTTCCATCATCGAATGCCAAGTGCATGAACTCCTTCATTGTTTTGAATCGGAACCAGCTCATGATCTTCTTTCCAGACTGGCCTGTTGCTTCATCAAACTTCGTCTTGTCAATCGACATGTCGATGACAGGAGCAAGGCGACCGGTTGGTTGCGTCGATTGGAATAGCTTCTCTCCTCCTTTTCTGACGGGACAAGCAATGATCATGATACCCCAAAAGATCCACCACTCTCGCTCTGAGCGTGGAAGCAAGAACAACAAGACAATCAAATTGGTTAGACAAGAAAGAATAGAGAATAGTATTGCATCAAAACATACCAGAGACGTAGCCGACTTTTCGCTGTCTTCCTTTTGTTTCGTTTGACTTATCAATAGCCGCATTCAAGTTCTTTCGATGAGTTCGCCAATCTCCAGGCCACAGATGTGTCAACAGCAATAGAAATGGAAATGTATAGGATGGATCTGCAGTTGACTCATGATTTTGGAAGGCTTGTTCAAATTGGAAGCCAGCAACACCAACCTTGTGAGCCTCGGGGATTGGATCATCTGGAATGGACTCTTCTGTTATCTTCCAACTGAAGATCCGAGAATCTTTGACGAGTGTGAGTTGCCGAGAGGAGATTCGCGATACAGCAGTTGGGCTGTCTTCAAAAAGAATCGTCCACATCGGCTGATCATCTTCAGGCTCTCTGCAACTGTCCAAGATCATGCCTTTTCGTTTGCGCCCAGTCTTCTCTTGGACTAGCTCTCCAATTCCAATCTTCTGCTTTTTGGGGGCTTTGCAGTCGACAGTCCACTCTTCGTCAAGAAGCTTCTGCTTTTCCAGTTCATATTGCCTCCACTTTGCTTTGTGTTTGTCGTCATCCGTTTCGATTCCACGGGCAGCAACAAAGTCTGCGGCTCTGAACTCAGCTTCGTCCCTGGCGGCTGCTCCGGATTCCTCCAATTCGGCAGCAAAAAAAGGTAGATCTTCTTCCACGGCGTCATCTGGGTCGATCGACTCCTCGTCGTCCTCTTGTACTGTCATGACTGTTGGGACGGTTGTTTCAGCTGTGCTTGCACGACTTTCTGCGTCTCCATCGCTTTCGTGGAGACCAACCTCAATGCCTTCATCAACTCCCGTTTCTTCATCATCCAAGTCTCGAATGATTGGCGCTGGTGGTGGTGGTGGTGGTGGTGGTGCTGCTGCTGCTGCTGCTGGTGGTGGTGGTGGTGGTTCATCGTCATCAGTAGAATCCGTCTTCTCGGTTGGAAATTCTCCTGGTGATGGATGCTTCACTTGTTGAGATTTCAGCTCCAATATCACTCCAGTTGGTTGGGCCGTTTCAGGGTCAACAAGCTCCACTTGCCAGAGTTGCTTGCCCATTGCTTGCAGAACGATACCAGGCTGCTTCTCCTTTCTAACGATGATTTTGGCGCCTCGCCCAAGGCGCTGCCTCCGACTTGCCCTCGATGCCATGGTCGTGGTGTGCTTTCGTCTTGAATCGAATCGGCCTTGCTTCGAGTAATGAGGATCAGCTCTCCGCGGCTGGAGAGTCAAACAGACGCGATAGAGAGCATGCACGTATTGTGCTATACAAGCAATGAAGCAATCAATACCCACACTTGCGCTCTTTAAGACAGGAGCAACGAGTTTCGATCCGTGTTGTGGTCGGGTTGGAGGGAGGTACGGTGGGAGTCCATCAAGCAACGTCATTTGGCACTGAAGAGATTTAACATACGTTACTAAATAAGGTTAAGTTTATGTGCGTGAAGACTGCGAAACTCCGAAACAGCACAGAGAATTCATAAATAATATAATAGTCATCAGACCAACAATAACCAAGATGGCATTCACTACTTGCGACCAAAACGACGAGCAGCACGAGTGTTGCGAGTGCTGCGGCGAGGACGAGGCATAGACGCAGGCAAGATAGCATAAGGATCCTGGGAGAATCCAGCAGTGGCTTCATAATCTTCACTTGAGTCGGAGTCATTCAGCAAGCTGACCTCTTGGTTGCCATCGACACCAATGAAACGGACTACATCGTCAGAAGCTTCCGATTCCGATTCCGATTCATTGTCATCCTCCTCCTTGACGTGCCTCGAGGCCCTTTTGGCATCCTCGAGATCGAAGTGAGCCCGGATTCTTTCGGCAGTGGTGTCCTTGGAAGCCGCCGTGGAAGCATCTTCGTTGGATGAATGGGTCAAGTCAAGGGCGCGGTCAGCTGTATTTCCTGTGCCAGTCGAGCGTTCATGAGCAGCCTCCTCGGCAGTTACGGTCTCAAGGATGATGTCTCCCGTGTCGGCACGGCGGAGGGAAATTTGAGTCGGCTGGTTGTTTTCATCGATGGCGATTGCGCTGAACTGGAGGGCGCTCAGATGAAGGGCGAAAGGCACATCACGGAAGGTAAGACGCATGGTGTTAGTTTGCTGGTTTGTTTAATCCAAAGTGCACTGATTCTGATTGCTCGAGTTGTAGGATTGTGGTTGTTGTCCGAATGTTTGTGGTGGTGCCAATCAACTCGAGCCGACTCGTCACTCCGAATTTGCCGCGGCTTTCGTGTGAAGGACCACTTTGAAAGGCTTTGAGAGAGGCGCATTGGAATGTTCGACCAGCCAGGTACAGAGTTGTTTGAACCAAAAGATTTGGCGGGCAAGCACACTCCCTTGCTCCCTTGTTTTGCCAGCCTCAGTTTGCCTCCTTCGTTTGCCTCTGTCACTTTTTCTCAATCCACTCGTCTAATATCTCCCTTTCTCTCTCTTCTCTCTCGACGACGACAAAATGTTCAACGCTTTCTTTGACCAAATTGACAGCATCACCATGGCCTTCTGGTCTCTCTTGAGTTTGTTCGAAGTGACCGGGGCATGGGTCAAGGCCTTCTTCCTTCGTTCCGTTACTGTTATCCATTCGGCTTGTGGCATTATCATTGGTCCTACTGCCTCTTGGAAGACTCTCTTTGATATGGATCAAGATGAGAGCATTCGTCCTGCATGTACCATCAGGGCCACAGCAAGCTTTGGATTTGATAGTCGTGTGCAGGTTGCCAATTTCCAGCTACAGCAGTTCGGCAACCACAACCTCTTCCGAGTTGTGCTTGATGGCGACTTTGTTGTTGATAAACCACATGCCAAGGCTCCCATGAAGGGCGATGCTACTGCTGGTACCATCTATTTTCCAACAGATGTACCTTGGGATATGGAAATGAAGAAGGTCAAAGCCGAAAACACCAAGAGTCTTCGTGGCAGGAGCTTCAAACTGTTCTTTGGCGAGAACTTGGATGGTGTGGAGCTCTTGCAGGTCACTTTCATCTACTTCCAGGAGGATGCTGATAACGCCAAGGGGTACATTGACTGCTTTGAAGCGGTGTTGACGGCCATGGCGGCTACCAACAACTGCATCAACCGCATCAACAGCGACTGAGCATCCCCATCCTCACTCCATCCGCACTTGTACTGTTTTACTATAGGTTTGGCCGGCGCGGATGGAGCATCCTCAACTCATCCGACCCTCTCTATCCGCAAAAAGTGAGCGTCAACGACACAACAACCAAAGGCACAACATCAAAAGTGATGGTCTCTACTTGTAGGGTATACTTAGTAGATTCATTGACACTATAACAAGTACCTTTGAAATTGACCTAGTTTGTGTGCTAGCAGCGTTCAAAGCAACACGGATTGCATCCGCAGACTGCCTCCACCAATCCGCGAGCAACTTAGAGGCACTAGGTAGTATCGTCTAAGCCCTTCAGAAGATCTCCACCTCGCTCGGATCACCGAAGAACACATCAAGCCCGTGGCTGACTACTGATCGGTAGTTAGCATCCTTCACCCACCGTACATTAATATCGCTCGTAACAAGCTCCGGGAAGATACCAGCTTAGTTCCCTATAGTAAATTAGTAGGATCGCTGAAGAAAGCGACTGGTCAGTTCGCACGATCAATGCGAATACTTCCTATCCCTCACCCTACCGTGAGAGCCCTCGGAATTTCTTGAGGTTCCGAGGGAGCACACTCGAGAATGGAGAACACGTACCTCGACTGACGTCAGCGCTTCAGACTGACGTACGTGCGAAAGAAGATCCTTCCGTGAAACTCGAAGGCTAGCGCTTGATTACAGGCAGCGCTAAAGCGTAAGAAAATACCTGCAACCACACCAGTACCGTGGAATTAGTGCTGGCTTGTCACAACTGCTGCGAACTCGGGAGTCATCTCGAGAAAAACAGCAGAGATGTTCGGCAATGGGGGAGTGATAAATGTGGTTTATATACCACAGAAATTGCCTCCACCAGCACCGAATAGATAAGATTTTTCATGATTTCATAGCCGTCCTTGCCAGATGGCAATTCTTTGGCAATGCGTATTTCGACTCTACTGGATAGAGGAGGGCAGCATGCTGTGGGATAGTTGCTAGTATCTCAGCACAGTTGGAATGAAATCGCCTCTTGCAGGAACTGCAAACCATAGACATAATGATGCACCAGGATGGTGGGCCATCAATACCGAAGACAGGAAACAGTACTTGATTCTTGGACCAGTTGGTTCGGTGGTTCACCAGATTGCCAACACACTTTCTATCCGGACAAGGAACAGTAATGCCGCATCGGTTCCAGTCGACAAGAAGCAACTTTTGCCCTTCAATGGAGTGGTAATGTGGACAGTTGAACTGAGAAGACATTGGAACTGTCATGGTAAGCCCTTCAAAGTGTCTTGTAAAAACTGTGGGGTTCCTGGAACGAATAATAGTGTCACTGACAACTTGCGCAAATGCCAGCATAGCCAGCGGCGCTCCCTTCGTTTTGTGTTTGTCAATGAAGGACTCTTCTTTTACAAGAACGCTCACCTTCTGGCATAGTAAGGCAGGGGTAATTTCCACGACAGTCGATTTCTTTTGTTGTGCCATCGCCTTTGGTTGCACCAAGTTCTGCCTTGAGGCGAAGAACTTGTCACCGTTTTCCTTTGTTGAATGCCTCCAAGATCCTTTCTTGTGGGCTGCAAGAGGTGTGTTAAAGTGAGTGCTAAGACGTAGCTTTTCTCGAATTGAAGCAATTGTCAGTGCGTTAAGATTACCCTGACCTTTTGTTGCCTTGTTTTTGATACAGCGAGTGTAGTGTGCTCTCTTTGGAACTCGAAGACTCAAGTGTCTTGCTTTGCAAATAACACAGTCTTTCAGTGGATCAAATATATCGGCAACCTCACTAGCAAGGTTAGTTTGAAGGCTTGGGGCCGAATTGCTGCGTCGGACTCGCTTGGATGGGTTGTTGTTGGTTGCAAGCAGATGAGCTCTCTTTTGTTGTGAATTCCTTTGCTGGCTTTGAATTCCCATTGTTTCATCATTATGAGTTGATTCGTCTGGGCTCCTTTGGGTTGGAGCCACAGTGGTGGGTGCTGCTGACATGGTTGATGCTCTTGGTTGGTGAAACTCGCAACTTTGGCTGTGGAAATGACCGTCGCATCCTCATCTTGAGTGGCTTGCTTCGAAGGAATCCTTGTTTTCTTTTCGAAAGAAACGAAAATCGATAGCTTGGTAGCACAGTGGTACGTAAACTGGTTAGGACTTGGTTGTTATGTATTACACACGTACTTGCTGACGTATTCAGTGTCCTCCTCCAATCATATCACTGCCTTCTACCGCTTAAAATCCTACAGGTAGAACGGAAAAGGAGTAGCTGAAGATTTCACTTGAAAATGACCCTTATCAATGACCTTCAAGTGCCCTTGCTTGTGCCCTCTAAAACCTCTCACTTTTCGGATCCTGCCGGTTCCGACAAAGCAACGGCGGCGCCACGATGTTCTTGCATCGACGACAAGCAATCTGCATCAGCGTCAACCTAATAAAAACATCCCCACTGTTGCTCCAAAATGATCACCATGACGGCGCCTCGCCCTATGCTGCATTGTCTTTGTTGCCTCTTGGTTATCGTGCATCTGCCTTTCTCCTTTGGCCATGGACTTGGAGACAAGGCGGCCTTCAATGTAACACCCTCGTTGATATCCAATAGTAACAGCAGCGTCCGACAGGATGTCTGTGAACGTTATGAAAAGTACCGTTTGGGAGAAATAGAACTGAAGAACGCTCTGTCAGGACTGGCGCTAAGGCCTGTCTTTGTTGGCAAAGGCAATCCTTACTTTCGCCACAACATGGAGTCGGGTCTCCCAACCGAAAATCCAGGACTTATCGCAGAGTTAATGGATGCAGTGGCAGCACGAGCCAACTTTACATGGCGGGATTCTTTTGGTGTCACGGAATGGCCTCAACAGTACAATATGACATGGACCGAGTTGCTGGTCTGGAGCACCGAAAACTATGACATTGCCGCTGGCTCTTGGGATCTCACTGTGGAACGAATGGAAGATGGGATTTCCTATGCCGAGCCATGGTACGATGGCAGTCTTATTTTGATTGATCAAAGGCGGTCTCTACTGGAAGCCAATGGCATTGATCTACTCAACTGGACCAAACCTTTTGATCCAGCAGTGTGGGGAACGATTATTTTGACGGTGGTCTTTTCGGCCCTGGTCTACCAGCTAATTGAGCACCTCCACGGAGAACGAGACGATCGGTCTCTCTGGCAATGGTTCTCAGACAACCTCTATCTCAGTGCCATCAACTTTTCTCAGAACTACGAGTATGCTCCTAGCAGTTTTGCAGGAAGGATATTTGGAGTAAGCATGACTATTTGGGCACTCGTCATCACAGCAACCTACACAGCAAATCTTGCTTCCCTGTTTGTGGAACAACGAGTGGAACCAGTTTTGGTGGCTTCCATGGAGGCAGCTGTTGTCTATGGGTATCCTGTTTGCACCTATGAGGATACCGCTGGAGATTTTCATATTCAGAAAGCCTACCCAAAGGCGCTACGGGAACCCAGAGTGGACGAGAAGGCAACCTATGAGTCATTGAGAAATGGGGAATGTGCCTTGTCTGTTTCAAACAAAGAAACATGGCTCAATGTGCAGAATGACAAGGAGTACAATCCAGACTGCAACTTGGAAGTTGTGGGCGATGTGGTCAAACCCTTGAAGTCTGCATTTGCTGTCAAAGTTGATTCAGGCCATTTGTGCAGCAGCTTGGTCCGCCACGTTGTAAGCTTGCATATGGTAGAACTTGTGGATGAAGGTGTCTTGGCAGAACTTTGGAGAAAACACAGAGAATTGGCTGACAATCAACACTGCAATTACGTGGGCAACAGCAAAGCTCAACCAGATCGGCGACTTCAGTCCCACAGGAAACAGCAGGACAAGACACAGAGTGGCCAGACTGTTACACCTAAGCAAAGGGTGCTTAAGGGTGGTGGCGCTTCAGCAGCTGGGGGATCTGATGGCGACAACATTGAAGCTGCTACACTGACACTTCAGCAGATGGCAGGGACATTTATTGTGCATTGGGTTGCCATGGCTGTTGCTGTGTTTGTTGGTTGCATAACAGCGTACACACAGAAGCTGAATTGCTGTTTAAGGGAAGGACAGATAGTGGAAAAGGTGAACAGCAGGACACATGGGCCAGTGATTGGATCTGCACCACGTGTCAATACTTATGTGGTCCGCCACCAATCAGAAGGTTCATTGGATAATTCAGGCGCTGGCAGCAGGCAGGAACGTGCACGGTTGGGGGACGAGGACAAGCGTGCAAAAATGGTTGCAAAGCAAAATGCTCTCGAGGCCAAAATTGATGAAGTTGAAGTTGTCCTAAATGCAAAGATGGATACAATTCTACGCCTGTTGCTGGGGCAACAAGAGCCATAGGGTTGACTGGGTGGTGCAGGGAGCGACAGGAGTGACTATGATTGGAACACTGAGTAGGCTGATGGAATTTGCTTTTAGTTCCTTAATTAAGATTTTTGGGAATAGCTCTGACTTCTGAAAGAATAGACGTCTCAATCCTATGATAGCGACAACAATGCGGTCGAGTGTGAATGAAAATCGAACCCAGGCAGGTGTCTGGTATGTTGTCCTTTGCAGTCGCTCTCTTTGGATGTGCCTAATAAGAAAATGCTATTGTTGTCTAGCCTTCAGGCAAGCTACTTGCAGTCTTGTGTTTATGTATCAAGCAAACGGTGTGCATTTGTCCAGCAAAATCAGGCTTGTGCGGCGCAGCTAGGCCACAGCACGGGTGAAGATCTCACTGCTGCCATCGTCCTGGTCTACCCAGACGCCCCTGAGCAGTCCGCTCCCTGCCACGGAACAGAGCGAGCTTGGAGCACCCCACGTGAGTTCGTCGGACGAGGCAGACCCGTCATCAGTCTCAGCCAGGGAAGCCCGTGACGATTCCTCGAAGGGCGAATATACAGCCTTTCCTCCTCTACCGGTACGAGATGTGCCCGTCCGTCCCTGAAAGGGTGAATCAACTGTCATTACACTTTCATTGAACAAAGCTTCTCGGGAGTTTGGCTCGCCGTGCTTCACATCTCCAATCAAGGGAGGCATACCCATGGCAACCCGTCCTAAGCCGCCCTCTGCAATGGAAGGCGGAAGGACTTCTCGGGGAATGAATTCATCCAACACGTCAAGATAGTTCTTGGACGCAAAGATCATTTTTCGTCGCAGTGACTGTCGGAAAAAGTTCTTAGCCACCGCCCACGCATACCGAAAGATGGAGGGAGCCCGAATGATAATCAATCGCTGCAAATAGCAGAATCAACAGAGAAAGGTAAGCGTTCTTTTCTTCTGGAACCTTCCCACGATAGCCAACAGCTATACCTTGATAGGCCCGGGGTAGCAGGCATTAGAAAACTTCATGATTTCTCCAAATAAGTCCATGCCCTTGGGGTTTAAGTGCTTGGTGCTCATTCCCTTCAAGTCATAGACAACTGAAAATCAACACAGAATGTAAGGCTTCGTTACCAGCTGACTTCCAACGATTGCCACCGAACATACCTGTGACGCCCTTGATGCGTCTTCCTTGTCGCCTCTCAAATGCTTCAATCCATGCACCTCGTGTATGTAGTTCACGTGTCCATATGCAAAACTTCACAATTTCTTCTGCGCTGAACTCTTTCAACAGGGTGCCAACATCTACAGCCCCACCCCTCTCAACATAAATGGGGTCACCTTCTCGATCGAGCCCATGGAGCATGGCAGAACTGGAGCTCTCCAGCAATCGCTTGGGAGGATTATAGTCGTCCAAGATTGTGTCTACATTGTTGTCCAGTCGCCACTCTATCATCTTTCTAAAGCAAGCTTCAGCGTTATCATATCCAGTTGGAGCAAACATGAATCGCAAAATACATTCAGGTTCATTCTTGAAGTGATCCACGTCCACCAATTTTCGTTGGAGCGCCCACATCTTGTCAATTTGCTCTTGCGTCAATCCCCAGGAGTCGATGTATTCTTGGACATTTTCTGCTCCCCAGGGATCTTTCGAGTAGGTCCTCAGCACAATTTTTCCTTGAGCGTCGCGATCAGGCGACATCATCTGACGAGCATAGGGATTCATTTTTTTCTCTTGTCCAAAGCTAGCAAAGAAATGAACCGAATAGGCGAAAAATTGTGGCCACATCGATCCGTGGCAGCCCGATGGTCAGCTGCTTAGTTAGGCAGACCATTGACCCTCGGATCCGTGCCTCCAGCCAAGTAGACAAACCTGCTACAGCACAAGCGGTCACTCAGGCAGACCATCAAGCGGACCGTGGAAAATAATGCGGGAATACCTGTTTCCAGATTTTCTTCTTTTGGAAGAATGACTAGAAAATGGAAGAATAACTAAAACTGAAAGAATGGCTGAATCTAGCTTCAAGGAAATAACACAATCTGGAGGAAAGTGGCATCTGGAAGCTTTCTGTAATTCACAAGCCAGACTCAAAGTGGCAGGCCTCTAAAATCCTATTTCCCGCTATTACACTTTCCGCCGTCTGCCCGCTCCACGCTTCGATGGATCCACAACAGCTTTCGTGGCTTTGCTCTCGACGGATCAGCAGTCCAGTCAATGCTAGCTACCTGGCTAGCACGAAACCAATCTAACTAGTTTGTTCGATGACCAACACCTTGGTGGATCCTCTTTCCTGGTGTAGGCACAGCAGTCAAGGATCGGAACGGGAGGCAACTCCAGGAATGATAGTTATTCAGAACGCGTTATTGCGAATGCCTACGTCGGGCAGAAGCCAGGAGTGCTTGTCTCATGGTACAATCGTACATTATCGGCCGAGTCCGACGCAATCTGAGAAGCTCGTGAACGGACATATCAAGTCCGATTCTACATGTAGCAATAGCTTGACAGGATTGATGAGGACAAAATCTGCCTGGCTGTCACATTCTGCGATACCGGTCGCCAAGAGGTGCAGAGAGGAGGGAGGCGGGGAAAGTTCGGATTCTCTGAAGGGAAATTTGAAAGATCCAAAGATCGAGTTGTGGCCCTGGAAACCAGGAGCATCTTGCCTGGCGCTTTGACTCGACTGAAGCAAAGGACTTGGAGCATTGAAAAAAGAATTGTTGTTGCTCCATCCCGAGACCGGGCCGGCCATCCTTGGGCAGAAGGCAGTAGATTCTTTGAGGATTGGGTTTTAATTTATTTCGTAGGACAAAAATGAAGGGGTCAAATATGGCTGCGGGAGAAAGATTAATGCAGTACGGTACCGATACCTCGTACGGCTGGAACCACGCAGGACATCGCTAGGCTTGATGTTTCCAGCGAGCTTGCTGGTTGGTAACATGACCAACAACATGAGGTGCAGACTAGCTAGAGAAGAGACCACAATACGAAGAATCGTGCCCTTGATTCCTCCTTCACATGACGCCCCTGGACCTTCATCCAAAGCATGTTCTCGCTCCACTCCTGCTCTTGCTGTCCCTATTCCTCGCGATCAGGTACATAATGCACAACTTCTTAGCCTGCCACAGACGAGAGGCGCATGTAACTCACGATCTTGTGTGATGAAGTACCTTGACACGCCAAATACACTTTATTCATGAGGGCACCACAATAGTTCCCTGTCATTCTACAAGTACCACAGCGGATGCACGGTAGCAAACGCAACTTCACCAACTATGTAACAGTCAGACAACACGTGGATGAGTACGACTTCTCCAAGATTAGGTCGATGCCAAAACATTCTGAGTATTGAAAGTCATCCTGCCAGTTAAGGTGAGTGCAGAGTAGGTAGTCCCGTTGGATATGCCTAGAGCTCGAGGGGAATGCAAGAGGGAGCAAGGCAGCTCCAGAGAAACCAACGGATCCAGGATACCAAATGTACTAATAGCGGTAACTGCTCAAGTCAGACCAAACCTTCAAAACGCAAGCATTACGACTAGTTTTTATTTCACAACGCTCCCATCGAACTCAAAACGTTTGCGCCAAAGTCAAGACCGCGACAAAGATTGCAAACAGGGAGCTGGAGAGAAGTTGATGAGCATCACTTTCCATGCCATCTTCGGCGTCTTTCCCGGAGTTGTCCTGAGCTCCCTTTGTAACTACTGGTAGATCCCCTGAGTTTTCAAAGTCATCACCACAAAAAGGATTCCTCTCCACCCCGTCAAAAATGGACTTGGGAATCAGGGCATGGACACCCCAGTTGCCGTCCACGAGCTGCAGGGAGTTGAAAGGAAACGAGTAAGGGTGACTGCATAAAGACGCACATTTGAAGCCATCTCTTGCTTCTTCCTCTTACCTGTGTCAACCCAAAGTTCACCGCCTGGGTGATGATTGTCCAACTCTCAAACTCAGTCAGACTGAATTTCGCCATCAACCACTTTCGAGTTTGCGTGAAAGCATTCTTCATGGCAGGATCAATCGAAGAAGTGCTGTAAACGTCTCCAGGGTTGTCGGGAAAGGTCTCCAGGTAGTCAGTGTGCGTGAAGCCCTGCAGGAGAGGGATCGAATCGCAAGTGTTAGAGACACGAAAGATTGGACACCTTTTCAGCAGACTGTATCAACCTACATGTACAATCCACTCCTTAGAAGTCTCTCCAAGAGGAAAGTCTTGAAGCTTTTGGGCTTCATCAAAGTCTGCAGCTTTGATCAGTGTGATCTTGAACCGACCAGTGATGCTAGTTTCAATTCCAGTACCATCCAACTCCGAGTCGCCCTGGGCTGCATGTGCATCTCCCATACTCAATAGACCTCCCAGCACTTCCACTGGATAATACATTGTTGTTCCCTTTCCGATTCTGCGATTGTCAAGATTTCCTCCAGTGGGAAGTGGTGGAATGCTGTCTACATAGGAATGAGACCCCGGCGCCAGACCCATGCAACCAATGTGCATATCAATGGGAATCTTGGCTCGGAACACATCATCATAGTATGTGATGTCTCCCTCTTTGACCCAGCCCATGTCGAGAACATTAGAGGAGACCGAGTCCGTCGCACCATGCGGGTCATGAGGCACGCAGGTGCCTGGATAGGCGATATAATCCCGTAAGATTCCTGGTCAACAACAGAAGATATGGTAAGTTGGTTGACTCGACCCAAAACAGGCAACGTAATACTGGCCACATCAAATGCTTGCTCACCATCTGGATCTGTCAAGACTGGCCACTCGAATTGGTACAAAGGAACGGCATACGCCCCGTCGTCATCTTGGAGCATCTCATAGATTGTTACGATTTCGTCGTTTTGATCGGGAGTTCCAGTGAAGCTACCAGCTGTGTATGTCGAGCCATCTGCTTTGGGAACTCGTGCCTGGTAACCCCACCATGCCGCCGCGTTTGAACCAAAGGTTTTGCCGTCAGGGTTGGGTCTGAGTTGCAAATCCATGATTTCAACGGCAATGATATCGCCAGGTTCTGCATCATCCACAAAGATGGGACCAGTCAGTACATGGACTCCGTCTCCTCCGCCAGTGGCTCCTCGGTAGAACTCATTCTGTTTTTCATTTGACCAGTGATAGATATCCTCCATCCCTGTGGAACACACGACGCAGTGAGGCTTTGATCACGCATACTTTGGCGCCTAACGGATGACGGAAACTCACCTGCATCGCCTTTTATCATTCTGTCCCAATCATCACATGCATGGTGAGTCGCCATTTCCACGACCACCTCCTGTCCACTCTGTACAGTCAATATGGGCTCCAACTCCTTGGAGAAGAACCCCCAATGAACGTTTGCTGAACTAAGCTCAATGTCTGCTGCTGGAGACTGTCGTGCTACGGAAACATCAGACTCTACCGGAGTCTCCTCGCCGCCTGTGTGCGGCTCAAATATCTTCTTGGGAATGACTGCATGAACGCCCCAATTGCCATCCACTACCTGTGTGATGGCGTAGTCGACGCCTTGGGTAATTATTGTATTGGCTTCCGGTTCCGTGAGCCCATAAGTCAGCATCAGAAACTTCCTGGTCTGCTGGTAGGCATTACTCATTGCAGGATCAATTGCCGAATTGGAATAGATCTCTGATGGATTGTCGGAGAATGTAGCCAGGTAGTCTGTCTCAGTGAAGCTGACCATTTCATTGTGTGAGAAGCCAAGCTATGCAATCACCCTCGGTTTGACCAGTTTCAACTCACCCGTGGACGATGAAATGTTCCTCGGTTTCACACAAGGGAAAATCTTGTTCCTGTTGTGCAGGTGTCAGGTCTGCCGCCTTGATGACTGAAATCTTGAACGTTCCAGTAACACTAGTCTCCACACCAGTGCCATCCAGTTCAGAATCTGCCTGAGCGGCATGTGCATCACCCATGGACAAGAGAGCTCCTTCTACTTGCACTGGATAATACATGGTTGCCCCTTTTGCAATCCTCATGTTGTCCAGGTTCCCGCCAGTCACCATGGGTGGAATGCTGTCCACATATTCGTGAGAGGCAGGAGGTAGACCCATGCAGCCAACATGATAGTTCACAGGAATCTTGGCAGGGAAAACATTGTCATAGTATGTTATGGGTTCTGATTTGGACCATCCCTGTGTGAAGCATGAAGGAGACAAGCAAATTGTGTTAGTCATTGGCTGGATATAGGCCTGATCCGCGGCCATGTTACATAACTTGCCATTTCCTCGACCCTACCAGATGGCTGGTACTCGTGACTGCAACCGTGCAAATCATGAGGTACACAGGTGCCAGGATAAGCAATGTAGTCGCGAACGGTACCGTTTGGATCAGTGATGGTAGGCCAGCTATATTGGTACTGAGGAACGGCAAATGCCTGTCCATCTTCTTCCAATACTTCATAGATGGTAATCACTTCGTTGTTGACGCCCTTTAGTGATCAAGGAAAACATGACAAAAGAGTGTTAACTCATGTCACCTTCACGCATAAAAAATCTGCAGGTCCACAATTCAATTTATTCTTGGACATACCGGTGTGTTTGTAAAAGATCCTGCTGAGAAGGACGAGCCGTCCACCATGTTGACTCTGGCTTGAAAACCCCACCACGCGGCTGCATTGGATCCAAAGGTTCGGTCGGTCGCAGGGTTCTTGCGAGGCTTCAAGTCCAAAATTTCCACTTGCAGCATGTCACCGGGCTCGGCACCTTCCACATAGATTGGACCTGTGAGAATATGGACTCCGTCACCCATTCCCGTGGCTCCACGAAAGTGTTCGTTGGCACCTTCCATGTTGTCCCAAAAGTAGATATCCTCCATACCGGGATCTCCTTCAATCATGGCGTCCCAGTCGTCACATGCATGGTGAGTGGCCATTTCCACTTCGACTTCCGATCCCGATGGGATCGTGAGGATAGGAGCAAGGCTCTTGCTAAAGAAACCCCAATGGACATTGGCAGCGCTCAGTTCCAACTTAAAGTCGGCCGCACTGGCAAGGACTGGATACACGAGTATCAAAAAGGCCGCCATATTGAGAGGCTTTGCAAACAACGCCATGGTCCCTTTATCTTCCTTTCCGCTGCAGCCAACAAAGAACAATGAAGGCAAGGCGAAGTGGAAAAAATGAGGATCGAGGAATCTCTCAAGATCTTTCGGCCCAAGTACTCCCCCTTCTGACTTCTGACAGCGGAATGATGAAGAGACCAAGATCCCAGGTGACGATTGCATCACTCCCTGGCGTTCTGCTGTACCGGTACAGTACTGTACCGCACGGTATCTCATGTCTGCAGCCACGTTCCTTCCTCAACATGAGCATTTCTTTTGGTGCTGCCGACAAATTGAATGGAAGTGAGCAAGCGAGGGTCGGCTGACCGCACGGGAATTGAGAATTAAGTCGAATGATTCCAATCACACTTCCACCAAAGATCCAAGGACTGGAATTCAAAGCTCCCGCCTTCAGCCTCACAAGCGATTGTGCTCTCATAATCTCTATCTCATCCAAATTGAAAAGGGAACAGCAGAAGAAATCAAAGATTGACTCTTGATTTGGCGTTGTTGTGGTGTCTGACATCAAAACCATCCCGAGAACGATTGCCATACGGTAGGAATCTGCACTAACTGCAACCATGGACAGCAGTAATAAGCAAGAAGATACGGCTACTAGCACCGAACAAGATGTCAACCACCAGGATGGTCGCGCCGACCCAGCAGCGTATCTGAACGAGGAGTGCATGGCACTTGTGTTTGCCTTTGCTGGGGCATTTGGAAAGGCTCCTACCGAGTGCATCTGCCACCTCCTGCCAGAGAAGACCGACAGCGATGGAGTCAACGAGGAAAAGAGCGACCAACAGCAGGTTGGTCGTGACCAGACGAAAGATAACAACGACACCGAATCAACGGAGGACACCCAGCAAGACATGGAAACTCAAAGCAATGATGACGATGACGACGAATCGGGTGGTGACGAAGGGAACGAGAACGGCACTAGCTACGGAAATCACGATGACTCTGACGACGACAGCCAGGACGATTCCAGCCATGGCAGTGACTCCGATTCTGACAGCCAAGTTCACCCTGAGGCTAGAGAGGACTTTAGTAGTGACGATGGAAGTCAAGACGACGATGAGGATGGCGTTGATAAGGATTTTCATTTTGGAGTGTCAACCTCGTATGCCGCGCGATTCTACAATGGATTGGCACGAGTTTCCCGTCGCTGGAAACGCGTCTTGGATGCTTGCTTTGCTACCACTCTTGTTCCATCTCTTCGACTGGCTTTGGACGATCTTCCCAAGTGCTTGGCGCAGTTTCATGGTGAATGGCTGGCAGATCACCAGGTTCGCTTCAAAACAATCACTTGCCATGAACTGGACTGGGAAGACTACGCTGCTGCATACATTGACGCAGTTGCGACAAGCGACTTGTCAGTTCTCAAAGGGGTTGAGACAAGCTTGTCAGTGACAGATCTGGTCGACTCGAGCAATGACCAAGCCCGTCTAAAGCGGGCTTTCCTTATGAAGATCACGGAACAACCCTTGCCAGAGCTGAAGAATCTCGGTTTGGACTTGCACTTGGATCAGAATGCTGGGCTGACCTCAAAAGATTGCCTTTCTCAGTTACCTCTCTTCTCTTGGTTGGTCCACCATCACGACTTTCAAGCTGGAAATACACATGGAGCAGAATGGCATCGCGACCGAGGATATGTTGAGTTCCTTCACGGATTCGATTCATTGCCAAACCTCGCCAATCTTTTTCTGACATGTGAGAGTTCCTACAACGGCCCTGCAATTCGGATTGCATGCAACTCGCTCAAGAATCTGCGCGTGGCTGGGTTTTTGTTTACCAGTACTCCCGTCGAGCTATCCCTCGATTGCCCAAGCCTCGAATGCTACGAGTGCGATGGGTACTTTTCCCTTCAACGTGGTGGCGCCCTCTGCACGAAGCAAAAAGTGATCAAGGCCGACAATGTGCCAGAAGACTGCCGGACATTGATTCACATCCTCACTGGTCCCGACCAATCCTATCCTGGAATGATTGGCCGCTTCCATCAGGTGTTTCCCCTACCACATGTCCTCAACCAGGATGAGCAGGACTGAAGGGCCAGAAGACTGCGTGCGTGGCGGAGATTCACATCCTCACTTGTCCCAACCACTCTAGACTAGCACTCTTGATCGGCCCGTTCCATAACTTGTCTCGCCTACCTCATGTCCCCGACCAGGACGCCCACCGAGGGGCATGGTGAAACAAACGATAGAAGATTTCCAAAGAAATAAAAAAGTAGTTTACGAATACTACGCCTGTGCCAATTAACACTGCTACCGGTACCGGTACCGGTAGCTAGCCAATGTAGATTCGATTCTTGCCAACGTCTGCCGTCACTGTCCCCAAGTCCAAGTCAGATCTTTCGGGCGCATGCATCAAAAGGAGGTACGGTACAGTACAGTACAGTCGTGCCGACATATCCTATCATTTATCTATCTATCTACGACACATTTCGGAACGACACTGTGTTCTTGTGTTTGGTTTCTGCAGCCACATTCTCTATCTCTATCTATCTACTACTCCCAATGCCACTCTTCCTGATCCTGTCCTTCCACTTGTTGCCAGAATTTGGTGGCTTCCAGGACCCCATCCCACACATTCGTTCCATTCTTCCACACTGTGGCAAAGGGTCCATGGATAGGGTCCATCACGGCTTGCCAGGCTTTGTATTCGTCTGGCGTCAAGACTTGTTTCAAGCGTTCTTTCGGGTTGTCATTTTCATTTTGATTACGAAATCGCAATGCCAATTTCTGCGACGTGGCCACCTGCGCCACATTTTTCATACCCAGCACGGTACACGGAACTTGCGGATTGGCCAATGCGTAGACAATGGCGATTGTGGCAATGTCGACCTCCTCCATGGTGGCTGCTGCTGTTCGACATGCTGCTTTCAATTCGTCACTGGCGGGATGCCATGCCGGCAGTGGATTGTTGGTCAATAGTCCCATATTCAAGGGAGCCGCCGCCATGAGTCCCAACGAGTGTTGCTCGCAATAGGCAGCAAACGATTCGTACTGTTGGTTGTTGTTATCTGGTGATGACAAGGGTTTCGTGAACAAACTCTGATTGACCAGGTTGTAATGTCCATATGTGAGACTCTGATCCCAAACATCGTCGTCTCCCAACACTTCTCGAGTCCGTTGTAGAATTTGGAATTGCGTTTGGAGGGGATATCCTGTCATGCCCAATGCCTTGCAGTATCCCTTGGTTCGACATTCGATCATGGCGGGAATGGTTTCCTGCAACAGCACGTCCAACGACGGAGCAAATTCGGAATCGTGGAGCTGGAGGACATCAATATAGCCACAATTCATGCGACGAATAGAACGTTCCACCGATTGAAGTGTGGCTTGTTTGGAAAAATCAAACTGTTTCTGCGGATCCGCTTCGTATCGTCCCACTTTGGTATTGATGACCAAATCGGATCGTTGAATGGCTTTTGTTGTAGTGTCTTTTTTGTCGTTGTCACTAGATGTAATAGTAGATAACATTTCCTCCATGGCCCATCCAATAATGACTTCGGAAGTCCCATGACCATACCACGGCGCTGTATCCAACAGGGTAATCCCACATTCTTCCACGGCATATCGAATGGTCGCAATCCATTCTTGTACTTGAGGGTGCGAGCGATCCATGCCTTCCGGAGTCCAATCACTACTACTACTTGATATCATCATCTCCTTTTGTTCTTGCTCCGTCCAGAAAAATGTAGAAAAGGACGAACATCCTAGTCCGATAATGGGAAGATCGGATGGTAGGCGACTGTTCTTGAACTTGCTCCCATAGGGGCGACGGGGGACGGACTTGGCACTGCTTGTCATCTTGGTGCGGCTACTAATGGCAGAGCTACTACTAGCTAGTAGCTAAACCAATTGAACAGATCGATTTTGAGAGATGCCAAGTGTGACAATGACAAAAAAGATATAAGCCAGTTGAAATGTGAAGGTATCCAAGATCACGCTTGCTCTGCAGCAACCGAAACTAGACGAAAGCTCCACAAAAACACAAAAACTAAAAAGAGCACCATGGCTTCTTCCAAGGAGCCCGTCCCCAAGAAGCAAAAGCTGTCTGCTTCCGCTGCTGCTCAAAAGTAACATGCATGGTTGCTTCTGGGGGTGGGCATCTTCACATTCTGAAATGGTTGCACGCAAATCAATGCCCCTTTGATAAACTAACATGCGTTTGGCCGCCGCCCGTCTGGACATACTGAAATGGGCCCATGAAAACGACTTGCCATGGGATGCTTGTTGCTGCCGTGCTGCTGCTGGAGCGGGTCGTCTGGAACTATTGAAATGGTTGCATGAAAAATATTCTAGGAGCCCAATTACTACAGTATCCTCTGTGTCACAGCAATTCCCCAAACCTGGAGGTAGGTTAGACTATTGAGACCTGGCAAAAAGCCATGACAAAATAGCCAGCGCGAGCCGAATGTTCAGGGCTTTGGCCGAAAAGCAACCCACAACGGTGGCCTGTATTCAAACACGGAGACATCAAACCGCATGATACAGTACTGCACGAGAAAGAACGCACGGTTGCTTGCTTCGTTGAAAGAGGAAAGACTATTCAATAGAACAACGGATAATATTTGTCTCTGGCTAGCGAAGCTGGTGGCTTGGGGGTCCTCTTAATCGCGACCTGACCTGTTGCTGTATCTTGTGCTTTCAAAAGTCGTCCCATCATTTCAAACAGTCAAGTCGGAATAATCAGGAGAAAGTTTCTTGTAGTGAACCAGGTAAACATCTAGCATCGAGTCTTGATACAGGCGAAGAGCGCGTTGTATGGCTTGTCGAATCCATTCTACTCGGTTTCCAAACGCTCCTCCTCCCAGCATGGTCAGATAGACCTTCACTCGCTTGTTTCGCTCCTTGGCTAAAACGGCTGCCACCGCCAAGGTGGCCTCGTAGGATCCATCCAAAACCAACTGGGCAAAGTGGCTCCAATCCGCATCGGAAGCCGTAATGTCATAGGCAATGGGCAAGGCGGAACAGTACACCTGCGCCACTCGTTGTTGATTGTTGTCGCTGTTATTATGGGTGCCTTGATCCACTTCGGTATTCCAGTGTACACCCACTCGCAGCTGTGCCATGGCCTTGTCGATCAGTCCGTCATTTTCCTGTAGTTTCTGGGAGAGTGTCTTGATGGAATCCTTCTTTGCAGCCAGAGCGTATCCATTTTTGATTTTCCAATACATAGGCTTCTTTTTACTGATGTCATGATTGCCCAGGACTTTGCCCACATCTTGGAGGGTATTCATTGGTTCTGCAAAGTAATTTCGGTAGAGGGTCCCAGCAGGACATACCATAGCGCAGGCTGGTCCCTGAGTGTAATCGTGTGCATAGCGAGTGATGCCCATTTCTCGTGTGATGCTGGGATGGATCATTTCGAGACAATTGAATTGACTGGCAGCTTGAAAGACGGCTCCTTGATTCTCCTGTGCTCTATGCAAAGCATCCACATCTCCGATAATGTGCTGAAAGGTGAGACCATCTTTGCGCTTGCGCTTGTTATCGGCCGGACATGAGGATCGTCCTGCCTTGTCCCGTAGCTCGGACAGGGTGGGCGTGTCAAAGCGCCCGACATGAAAGGTACGTTTGGGTTTGCGTTTGGTACCAGGAGCCGCCGTCGAAAGGAGAATGTTGCCATCATCCTCTCGCGAGATTGCAAACTTCGACTTGACCTCCTCGAAGCCTCCCTCTTCCCGAAAACCAAATACTTGTTCGAACCAGTCCATTATGTTTGATTGTATGATTGTTTCTGTTTTGTTTTTGTGGTGACAACACACGCAACCGTAGCAACGCGGTGGCTGAGAGGAAGAAGACAAGTCTGGTTTTGCAAGGTGGAGGTTGGAAAGAAGAAGCACGTCTTGTTGTCTCTTGCTAGGATATGAACGCTAACCTTAGTCGACAGATAAAAACCCACTCAGCGGGCTTATCCGAACCTTTCCTCGCCTCGATCGGCACTTCTTTGCTCATTTTTTGGTTGAGCATCAAGTCCACTGCTGATTGCATTCCTCGTCGTCGTTCTTGGAGAGAGTAAGAGAAAATGACAAGCCTCACGACGACGAACAGCCGAATGGACCCTGCTGCGTACTTGTCGGAGGAGTGCATGCTGCTCGTGTTGTCGTTCTTGCGACCCGTCCGCTGTCCTCCGCTTTGCAACTGTTGTGGAAAGCCCGAAAAGTCGGAGGAAACTCCCGATCGTCGTCTTTTCGCTCTTTCCGTGGAGGACGATGGTTTCGTCGAGGATGAGGACGACGATGCCAGAGAATATGATGACGATGTCGACAACTACGATGATCTCATGGGCCGAGATGGAATTGAAGACGCCATGGACGCAGACGAAAGCACGACAGGAAGCGTCTCTTTCGATGGACATGACGACTACGTCGAGACAGAGCAGGAGTTGAGAAACAAGGACGACGACGTCGAACAAGACACGACATGGTCGTCCACTTACGACGCTCTGGACGCCGTGAAGTTCTATCATTCCCTGGTCGGTGTCTCTCGTCGATGGAAGTCGCTCCTGGACTCCTCCATGTACATTCTTGTCGGCGACATTCGGTTTGACAACTCTCGCATCCCAGACGGAACCTTGGCGGAGCGCCTCGTGCAATTCATGAGCCGTCATCGGATCCGAATCGAATCCTTCTTTTGTGGCGACGGCTGGCAAGAGCTGGCGCCTTTGTTCGCCGAGGCTTTGCAGAAATGCGACACGTCCAACTTGGTCAGTTTCCAAACGAGCGCTTCCATGACGGACTTTGTCACAGAGGCGCCCGAGCGATTCCTCATCGACGTACTGGCTGACAAGTGCGGCGGTGGTTCAAGTGCCACGAGGAAGGCCAGTGCCATGCAGTATTTGGATGTGCGCTTGACGGTGGACACCGAAGCGTCCATCGTCCCGCTCCAGTTGCCAGGACTGTTCTCGCTTGCTTCCATCAAGGTGTTGATGATCGACCTCACTTTGCAAGCTCCCAATGGCATTTGCAGTTCCGATCTTCTCTGTCCCTTTGTGGAACACTTGCCGTCCCTCGAAGACCTGTACTTGGAAAGCACGTCGTTGCCTGCCGAGAACGACGAAGTGCTTCACATTCGATCGGCGTCGCTCCAGAGTCTTGCCGTCCATGCCATGTGGCCTGGCGTCAGTCTCTCGTTGGCATGCCCGAATCTGTGCGAGTTTCGATGCCTTGGAGTGGTGGAGCCTGCCCTCTTTCATCCCGACCGTCTCATGGACATTGTTTGTGTCGGTCAAAAGGTGGTGGAATGCGAGCAAGAGGTGGATCCAGGCTGTGTCGTGGTGGTTGTGAGTCCGCCTTGTCAATTCTGCGTCGAATGCCCCGGCATGCCGCCGTTCTCGTACCCGTTTGAAGCAGTGTTCGATGCGAACTTGCCATTCCTGCAGTGAGTGTGTGAAACCAATAAATGGTTGTATTCGAAAAACAGCGGATCGAGCCGTCACAAAAGCACGCAGCTAGGTAGACTAGCTAGCTAGCTACGTTGTAACAGATCTGATCCACCAAAAGGAGCACAGCAGCCCCGCACTAGAAACAGCAGAGGCATAAAAAAAATAAAGCGGAAACGCTTGTACAAAAATCAAAAAGACATCTGGCGCAACGATGTAGATTTCTTTCTAAATGGTTGGAGATCTATCAATATCGAAGGATTGGGTGAAAAGTGTGCTGTAGATTGATGGATGATAAAAAGTGTAGCCTTGTCTGGTTGGAATGTGTTTCCACCAGGAGATTGTCATGTTGGTGTTGTTTGTATTCCGCTCTTTCGTTCTACAGTCGTATAGTGCTAACTTGCCAGAGCCATGTGTTGCAGAGTATGCTGTTGCAATGCTTGAACGGTGGTCAAGACTGGTGGTCCTCCTCCGCCATAATACATCATGGGTTGATGACAATTATTGTTGGAACCAATGCTTTCATAATCCCCCACACTACTGGTCGTGTCATGGGGTTCTGGTCGTATGGATTCTCCCAAATCACTAATTCCATCCGATCGAGTTCTAACGCCAAGCTGTTGTTGTGGTGGCGGCGCAATGAGTCGGGGAATACTGGGTGTCATCCATGACGACTTGCTACTAGTACTCATGAGTCGATCCAAGAGACACTCTTGCCGCAAAATGACTTCGGGGTAAATGTCGTGCAGCGCCCGTTGGGTCCCATCGAGTACCATTTGCATCATGGCCACTTGTGCTTGTTGTGTATCGAGCAATGCCCGTTCTCGTTTGAGGGCGGATGTGATTTGTTTGCTATTGGTGCTGGTAATGTCGCATTGATTTTGAAAAATCATGGTGATATGCATCGTTTTCAAAATGGTGGTTTCCAGTTCGATGCGGTCTCGTTCTTCCGATGTCAACGGTTGTTCCGGTGCTATTAGTGTGTCCGCGGCCGCTTTGGCGGCTTTGGAAACCGTCTTTTTGACAATACTGGCACTGGTGGATGTCCTGGCTTTGCGATTTCCAGCCCTCGACAATGCCTTGCCGTACTGTGTCTTATTATTGCCCAATGCTTGTGCGAGTGCGTGATGCAACTTGGAGGTGGAATGCTCCAATTGTTTTTGTTCCTTGTCTCGCCACGCGGCTTGTTTCTTTTCCAGTTTTTCTCGTTGCGTCCGTTGTTGTTGTAATTGTTGTTTGAGAGCGCGAATTTGTTTTTGCATACTTTGCAATTCGGCATTGGCGCGAATCTCCTTGGCGTATTTTTGTTTCAGTACTTGCAACGAGTTGAATTCGTCGCTACTTTCATGCTGTTCCAAGACGCGACGCACCATGGAACTCGTATTACTGCTGTGACTGTGATGATGATGCTGCTGTAAAGTCGGTACGACAAAGCCCAGGGTTCGCTCCATCATCCAGCGTGGCACCGACTCGAGACGATTCCAGCCCGCCAAAAGAAGGTCAATTGGGACCCGATGAGGACTCAGTAGAGATCGAGTGGGAGCAGAAGATACTGCTTGCTCTTGTTGATCGTACTGGTCTTCATCATCAGTAGAGGACTGTCTCTTGTTCTTGGTGCCGTTGTTCGTCATCTTCGTGGTGTTAATAGTTTGGTTCTTGCATGCATTCCTTCTATCTTAGTTAGGCAAGTGGGGGGGGGGGTGATGATGAATTTTGAGTTGTGTCAATAAGGAAGGAGGGAAAGACTTCAGCGATGAGTTCTTCTCGTGTCAAGAACTCTCCTCCCCTCTTTCTCGGACTTACTTGGCGGCAAGTTTAATTAAAAAGTGCTTTCTTATTATCAACTAACTTCTAAAGACTCACTGGACACTGGACCCGACTCCCACTTTCCGATGACTGTCACTCTTGACAAATGACTCGGCAACCCAAAACCCACAGGAGCAGCTCCCACAGCCCACACCCCACACTCTATTAAAAAACTCAGCTACTAGCTGGCTAGCTAGCTAGCTCGACTACCAGCTCCGCTACCCTACATTGTGCGTACGGGCTAGCTTCGATTGATTCCACAGATGCACATCTCCCACCCCCTTTCTTTCCACTTACTTTGAACAACAACGGTGAAACTACAGGCCAATCTACCAGCGAGTAGCTGGAGCTAGCTACTAGTACTAGTTTCTTGCGGAGGAATGTTCATTGTTCATTCATCCAAGCAGCAAGCTTCCACCATGTGTACCAGAGAGATCATCAACTCATTTATTGTCTATCTACACGGACTCGGATTGATATTATATTAGACAGTTGCTAGCAGCCATGATGACCCGTTCGTTCCACGTTCAATAGTAGTCCCTTCACACAGATGCTCAACAGATGCTGCCTTTACTACTGGGGCGGCCCCTCCTCTCCCGCTATTTCCACTTTGGATCAAAGCCGCACAGCATCACCAGTCAAAATACCAGCTTGCTTTCTAGCTAGCTAGTAGCTCGTCTAGTAGTTCGTAGCTACAGCCTCTTGCTTCCTTTCGGTGTACTATTATTTGCTTGTTGCCGTAGTTGGGTTCTATTCTCGGTGGATTCGACAGCTTTTTCTTTCCAAGGTCAACGTTTGCTTCGGCTCGGTTGCTCTAGCTAGCTACTGTAACTAGAGTTCTTGCTTTACCCGTATTAGGCATAGGCTCCTTCAGGTTTTGAAAGCAAGCAAGGTTACTTTCACTTCTGTGGTAACTCCAGCCAGGGAACACCCCGGCCGCAAGGCCAACTGGGAAGGAGGCCAGTAAAGATGCAAACTGCATCGTATTCTTCTTCTGCATTGGCTTGAAAAGCAACCCTCCCGAGGGGGGAGGCAAGAAACAATGCATCGTCCCAACGACACCATCATTGCTTGGGTCGTGAAACGGCGGCCCTTATCTTGGATGCCGTAGCAGCAAGCGAGCGTTCTTGGCCAAACCATGCGTCCATCCATTTGCTAGCTAGATAGCAGGTGCTGGTTGTGGGTTCTCGGGTCGTTGTCAACCAAAAAGAAAGTGTTCCTCTTGTTGTGGTGCAGTGCCATCAAACTTTGTTTTCCTGACAGGATGGATCTGTTCGATCAAGGTACCGCTCTAGATAGCTAGCCAGTGCCAGTACCGACACGTTGTGAGAATGCGCAACCCAAGATACAGCAACTGCCATAGTGGTACCTGAACTGCCCTTTCTTCAAGAGCCTTCGCGTCGAAATGACTTCCTGTGTGATCCATAGCATGGCCACCGAGCCTGTTCACAAAGCCAGCCGCTGCGGTAATCATTGTGTTCTCGTGTACCCGTACCGTCTTGCTTGTAGTTTCTGCTGACTCATCAATTGCCTGTTGCCACCAAGCTGCGCTGGCACTAATGCCATGGCACCCGGCAACGGGCTATTCGACACGTTTTACCAACGTAGTACTTTAACTCATCATCGATCTGGGTGCAGCCATCAGAGACAGACAGCTCATCAGAGAGGACAATAATTATTCATAAAGTCTATTCTCAAGTCTCATTATCTTAGATTGTTGATCGGCGATATCCACCATGACCACTACCTGTTTATCACCGTTGCCTCTGGCGAGCATTGAGAAGTATCTGCAGGATTTGGAAGATGAGGAGGACGACGATGACGAGGAAGAAGAAGACGACAGTGACGACGAGGAGGACGACGATGATGATGATGATGGCAGCGATACCGACAGTCTTTCTTCTGTGAGCGAATCGTCAGACTACCCCTTTCACGACGACGATGACGACGAGGAAGACTGTAGTCGTCAAGAGCACCACAAGCCCGCGAAAAAAGATGACGACGACAATGTGTCGTTGGCCGTGAGTCTGGGAGCCTTGGTGAACGACACGCGCCGCGGTGTGGACGATGCCAGCAATCGATCCTTGCCGCTGATGCAGTTTGAATTCGATATGGGTGCAGGTGCTGCTCGCATGTCCGAAGACGACAACAAATCCATGAAATCCTTCATGATGCGCATGAACAGTACCAATAACCTCTCGTACTTTCAAGATGCTCCCGAAAAAGACGGCAGCGTTCCTGTCAATGTCAATGTCATGACATCGTTGCGTCATCAAACCTCCCGCGATGACTTGGCGTTGACGGATACCGGTCGGGCTCCCAGTCCTCATAGCTTGTTTCTCGATATCATCAAGGGCATTACCGGTATTGATCTACCCGATACCTACTGGAAAAACTACTTTGAAGAGATATCCGACGAACGCGTCCAAGCCTATTCCATGGAGACTGTCCGGGCTGCTCGGAATCAAGATGTCGAAGCATTGACACGCATTTATAAGGAAAAGGGAAAGGGACCTCTCGAAGCCTGCAACAAGCAAGGGGAATCCATCGTCCACTTGGCATGTCGTCGTCGCAACGATGCTTTGGTCAGTTTCTTGGTGGGTGATGCCAAGGTATCCTTGCACGTGCGAGATGACTGGGGCAAGACACCGTTGCACGAATTGTGCTGGAACTCGAGGGCGAGATCGCGTGGACAATTCGATTCCTTTCGGTTGCTGCTCAAGGAAGCACCGGAATTGCTCTTTGCCAAGGATTCGCGTGGCTTTACCCCGTTGCAATACGTCCCCAAGGAAAGTTGGAAAGATTGGCAACGGTTCTTGGAACGATACAAGAAACTAATTCGGTGCAAGGTGCAACTTATTGGGTTTGTCCAGTCGAGAACCAAGTTGCAAGAGACGCTGGAACGGGCCAATTCGACCATGACACTGTTATCCTCCAAGACTCGACTGTCCGCGAGATCGTCCTTGACCAAGTTGTCGGGGGAGACGGGGAGTTCCAAGTAGTCGTAGAGCATGCACGAGAAGAACAAAGATCCGATTCGGTGGGCACGTAACCACCCTGGTGCCAAGCCGCCGAAGATTCACAATAAATTTTGTAGACGAGTGGTACTGATTCCGGAGTACAAAAGGAGCATACATGGCTACATGACAGCACATGTACTAACAACAGCGACAAGCAGCTCGATACCCGGATGATACCAACATAACATAATACAACCTATGATAGACAACAAGTTCCACAAGAAAGTTTTACTCATAGACCACTATTGCCATACCTTATTAGAACTTTGCTACATGCTTCGCATCCCTGCACCACTGATTAGATCTTCCGACTCTACTCACTCCCTATATAATTATACCTACATCGTATCGTCGACGTGGTGACGAAGTACAGTGTACTGACCAACACCTGCTTCCTTTTCGTCACTGGAATGGTTCTTTCTTCATCTTGCCTTCTTTTGATAGTTGGAGCTGTATTTGCTCCTTCCTACTAGACGGCAGAATTGCTGTAACCACTGTCCAACTAAAATGGGTTCGAAGTCGATACAATCGCAAGGCGCAACCTCTCTTCTCCTAAACTAGCTACCAGTAGCTATGCATAGCCGTACGGTAGCGTGCTAGGTCCACTTGCTCACTTTCGAAGTGACGAACAATTAATTTTCCGTAGATAATTTCCCTACTCTAAAACCCCCTAATTTATGCGCCTTCTGAGTGCGGGAGTATTGGGCTGGGGCCCAGTCAACAGTATCCGTGACTGAGAGGATAGGACGACCAAAGGTTGTTGTCTGTTTGGCAACAGCCACAACTCTGCCGTGGAGGATGCATCGTCTTGTGCGGCATCTTCACTTTCACCACACCCACAGGAGAGTCTTGTCTTTTCCTCACTTCAGTGTGTGGCGCTGGTTCCGCTGTTCCCTCCCTGTGGTTCTGTTTGTACTCTCCTTTTTTACGATGAGTTGCTCTAAAGCCAAAGCTTTGGCCACGCCTACTACTAGCAGTGTTCCTCCTCGACGAACGTTTTATCGTCGTCCCCTTCCCGATTCTTGTACAGCATTGAGTTCGCCCCAAGGCCAAGAACGGTTTGCCTCGGCCATGGCAAACAAGGGCGTGAAATCTTTCTTTGTCTTGATGGAACAATATACGACACAGCCGGAACCCGCCTTTTGTGGCATGACCACTTTGGTAATGGTCTTGAATGCCCTGGCCGTGGATCCTCGCAAACCTTGGAAGGGACCTTGGCGGTGGTACGAAGAAACAATGCTCAATTGTTGTTTAGATTTAGAAGAGGTCAAACAAACGGGAATTACAATCCAAGATTTTCGCTGTTTGGCCATTTGTCAAGGACTCTTTGTCGACACGGTCTATGCTGCTGCTGCTCCTCAAGATGGGGACGACAAAAATACTAGTACTACTAGTAGTAGTGTGGAAGACTTTCGACGTGCCGTACAACAGGCATGTGTCGGTTCGACGACGCCCGACGAACTCTTGGTGGTGTCCTATTCGCGCAAAGTCTTGGGACAGACAGGATCCGGACACTTTTCGCCCATTGCCGCATACGATGCTGCATCGGATTCCGTTTTGGTGATGGATACGGCACGCTTCAAGTACGGTCCTCATTGGGTCAGCGTTCCCCTCTTGTGGGATGCCATGAAACCCGTCGATCCGACAACCAACCGGTCCCGTGGGTACCTCGTGTTACGGGATTTTGATCAACAACACCAAACGCAAGAAGCAGCACCAATCTTGCAACCGTCGCTCTTGTTTCGATCGCAACGCAAACAAAATCCCGTGCGACGACAGTACAAGGAATTCTTGGCTGCTAACGCCACCAAAGAAGAAGTCACGCTGGATCAAGTCATTGCCTTTTGGACCCAAGACAGTTCCAAGCCTGCCTTTGTGTGGCAAATGATGGAACCGCAATTCACTCCTCTAGAAAGTGACGATGCCACGGAACAAATCAAGGCCTTGATTTCCAATGTACGAGCGTGCATTCGACAATTGATGGACCAAGTGCCGCATGGAGCCTTCCCATCAGCCTGTTGCAAGTGTCGAATCAATTACAGTCGCTCACTCGACATGACACCGCAAGAAGCCATCTTTATAGTCTATCTGGCATCGCTCTCCGAAGAGCGACGACGCGAGGTTGTGGGGTTGTTGCCAAAAGAGAATAATGAGAATGACGACGACGCAAGAACCCAACTATTGGTGGAAGCAGATCTTTTGCGCCATGCCATTGATATGAGTGATGACAATCAATGAGTAGATAGCTACCTAGCTTGCTGGTACATACGGTCGTATTCTTAGTTCTGGTTATAACTATATTCGCGCGTACTTGCTTTAGCTCTGGCTTGCCGAATGATACATCCTCTAGCCAGCTAGCTTGTCGAGAAGCAATATGCTTAGACTAAGTTTGCTGTCCAATAACAGCACAGAAAAATAAATAGTCTACCGATACCCAGCATTAGAGAAGATAGATGTGCGGAACAAGGCTGCCTCGCTGGCAATGCTTCAATCTCCTCCTCTCTTACATGTAGCTTTCTGTACCTTCGTTTCCACCTGACAACATTCCACTTCGCACACCGCAGACGATACGGTATCCTAGTACGGTACTCAGGCCGCGTGTTCAACAGTCAGCAGCTAGAAACCCTTTCCAACTTACCAGTAGCCAGCTACGGTGCGAGCTCATGTCATTGGAGGGAGTGTCTGTGGTGGGCATACAGGCTACTCGTATCAAAGGCCGGCTTCCGCTCTATCAATCAAAACGTTCCTCTCCCTTCTTCCAACGTACCGGTACCATGCTCATAGAAACGTTGCCACTCTCATCGTTGTCCACCGAATAGTCAGTACCATTGCTGATGGCCATGTTACGTGCTGCTGTTCTAACAAGGACACGCATCACATCCACAGAGGGAGTCACTGCAATCGTAGTCCAAAGAGCAATTCTTGAAAGCTATGCGATCGTAGTACCAGGTACTACGGTATGTGCACGAAGGCATCCCCAATCTACAAATATCATTCTTGGAAAGAACACCAGGCAAGCTGTTGTTGCGAATGTTGAGAACTCCCAAGGATGCGTGCGACACAAGGTGGGCAACTTCGGGGGGTATGGGACCCGTCAGGTTCGTGCCATCTAAGAAAAGCTGTTCAAAGTTTGACAAAAGGCCAAACTCAGATTGCAGCTGACCAGAGAGCATGTTGTTGGACAAGGCCAGTGTTCGCAGCTCTGCCAACATGAAAAGCTCACTCGGAATACTCGTCAATGCATTGTTGTCAAGCAGCAGAAAGCCCAGACCCCAGCTCAAGCCAATCTCGCTTGGTACACTTGTGATCAGGTTAATGGACAACGAAAGCCGATTTGAGTCATCCCAGAAAAAGGATCGAAACAAACCCCCTACCTCGCTTGGCACAGCAGAAGTCAATAGATTGTTGTGAAGGAAGAGCCAATGAAGTTTGAACAATGAAGTCAGTTTCCCCAATTCACTTGGAATGGTACTCGTGAGAGTATTGCCACGAAGGCTCAACCGCGAAAGATTCGATAACCTTCCAAGGTCTGTTGGAATCGAGCCACTCAATGCATTCTCATGCAAATGAAATATTGTCATGTTGGTCATCAAACCCATTTCGCTGGGAATGACGGACAGGGAATTGTAGCCACCGTAGAGTTCCTCTAGCCCTTGTAACCGGCCGATCTCGCTCGGCAAAGATAGTGAATTGTTAAAAATCCAAAGATTCCGCAACATGCGCAATTGACCAATCTCACTGGGAATGGAATGGGTTAAGGTATTATCGTGCAGGGACCAATGATCCAGCGCAGTGAGGAAGCCGACCTCTGAGGGAATGGGTCCTGTCAATCTGTTGATGTATAAGTTGCGAGAGAACTGTTGGGGAAAAGGCGGCTCAGCATGGATGGCATGCCCGATGCATTCGCATTGGTTGGCGCATCATCTGCTGTAGACGTCTTGATGATTTTGGTGGTAGATGTCGATCTTCTGCTTAGCATTCCAAAGACAACCCCCAACACAACTGCCAACAAGAGAAGCGTCATCAAAACGAAAACTTTGGCACAGTCTCTTTGGAACTTCTTCTGACGCTTGTCTTTTCTTTCCTTGGCACCTTCTAAGTCCACTGGATGGGCTTCCATCACAATCATGCCAAATTGTTGTTCTATGTCCAGCATGACAACGGGCGTGGCCTCTACGAGATCAGTGTCAGATCCGTCTAGAATTTGATGGGGTTCACGGTAATCATCGACGTCTCGAGATGTCGACCTGAAGGAACATGAAACAAACACTTCTTCCTCTGCTTGTTCCTCTTCATGTTGGACATTGAAGGAGCCAGAGATTTCCGATTCCTCTTCGTCTCCTGAAACAAAGTTCTCTGCTTCTTCTTCGTCGTCGCCCTCTTCTTCCTCCTCGGCTTCGTGAACCTCACTGTTGTTCAGGACATTCTCTGCGTTTCTTTGCCGTTTCGACCTCGCTTTGTTGGGAGCCCGCCCTTGACAAGCGAAGTTCTTGCCGCCAGGTGTGAAGCTGATGTTGTAATAGAAGCGCACCCATTGCTGCTTTTGTTGACCCTGTGTCGACATAGTCCTCCCTTGATAATCGGAGGACGAGTCCATGGAACGGCAGTCCCTGAACCCTTCAATTTCGCCCTGCGATCTTGGAGTTAACGCCTCAGTCCATGATTGGTCACAACATGGTGTATCGTTGTCGAATTAATAGGGCAATTTGATAAGACTGAATTTTCTTTCTCGGCACCATGAGCATCACCAGAAGGCACTTCCACTACAGATGCAGGTGCTGAAGGTTGAATGACAATGTCCTCCTCCTCGGCATTGACGTCCTTTCGCTCATCCCCCATCATGCCCGTATTTGATCGATCCTTCTGCTTCTTCGGACTTGTGCAAAAGGTGAAGCATCTCGGTTCTCCTAGGTTTGATTCGCTTCCACATTGGTTCGGTTCTGGCAATCATAATAAGTCTCGCTCTTTGCTTCTGGTTTGCAAAGCACAATGGGCTTCTCTTTGACATTGGGCACTGTTTCGACAGGGTTGTTGCTGCTACCGGTAGCTTGGTGCAGGGTACCTGGTACTGGTACTAGCTAGACGGTACCGTTAAGCTTAGCTTGCAGAGCCGTAATAGCTTCTACACGCCGCAATTGCTTTTGTTGCTAGCTAGTGCTGGAGTTTCCTGGTGCCTCCCGCATTCGTGTCGTCGGTTGTCTCCACTTCTATCTACTCAGCATGCTCTGGAGAGAGCAGTATCTCCATTGCAGCCTGCTGCAGTTGTCTTCAACTATGTTGAGTACGTAGCGCTATTTACATGAGGAGTTCCTCGCTGCTTAGCTACCTAGAGTACGGCACCAATTTCGTTGATCCCACCTCCAGTTGCTTCTAATCATTTGAACCCCGACTTGTCGCGTCGTTGCTTTTCTGTCGTGTCGACCTATCTTCCCGTTTCAAGAACCCTTGGGGGCTTTCTTGCGGTTTCGACGGCCAAAGACATCGGCCAGCCATTCACAGCAAGGACACTCCAATGGTTCTTCTTCTTCTTTCTTCCCCTTTTCTTTTGCTGTCACTGCGGCGGCGGCACCTGCTGCGACATCAGCCTCTGAAAGGTCCACCTCTTCTTTCCGAACCTGTGCACCATTCTGCTGTGGAGACGGTTTAGTTGGCTTCTCTGGCTTTGGCTTCTCCTCTGGCTTTGCTTTTCCTGTTTTTGCTGGCTCGGACAAAGTCGTAGGGATTGGAGTCTCTGATGCCTCTTTTTTGACAGCTGTGACCTCTTCAGCGGGCTTTGTGGTTGAAACTGCCGCTTCTGCCTCGACTGTGGCTGCAGCCCCGTGTTTACCTGCCTCTTTTGTCTCAATCTGCTCCTCCACAGATGTTCCGACGGGTTCTGGCGAAGCATCGGCATTGGAGCTGGCTGTTTCTGCTGGTTCTTCCGGATGGACGGCGGCCTCTGTTTCCACTCTCTCCCTGCCCTTCTCTATTTCCTCAGCACCTTCTACAGCTCCTGATGTAGTAGTAGCAGTACGTGGGCATTGATGCTGATGTTTCTGCTGGTTTTTCCACATCGGCTGCTGTCTTCAGTTTCCATCCTCGCTCAGGGTATTCTGACTTTCGGTAGTTCTTCGACTCGTCTGTGGTCTTTGGTTTGCAACGGCGCCTCGGCCTCATTCATGCCTCACCATCTATCCACTGTCTCCCCGCTGGTCAGTCCGCGGTCGTCTTGTGTCTTCGCTTCGTCATAACGGCTTCTGCCTCACTTCTTCTACGCCCCCCTACCTCTGAAGCAGCGTCGGATTCCTGAAGCATCCGGGGACGATGCCGCAGCCTCCACTTTAAGTCCTCGATGGACTGATTCTCCCTTCTTCTGATTTATCCGGTCTCATGTCAGTTCTCCTGAAGATTCGGGGACAGATGCTGCAAGCGCGCTTCAACGTCCCCATGCGGCCTGGTCTCCGCTTCCTTTTGCTGAGCCATCTCGTCTGCATGAACATGCTCCACTGCTTCTTCTCCCACACCAGGATTCGATGCATAACCTACCTCACCATCTGCTTCTTCTTCTATCTTCTTCCTCCTCATCTTCTTTCAGACTCCGATTTCCTCTTCTCTTCCTCTTGTTCAGAGCTTCCTCCGGCGTTTCAGTAACTTTTCAAGAGGACGTGCTGCCATGCGTGACGTCGACGACCGACTTCATTGTCCGCGCCTTGCACAGCAGAACTCCATGTCGCCCTCCTCTGTCTTGTGTTCTTCCTCTTCCGTGTCCTCTGCCACAGTTGAGCTCAAAGCAACCAATGCAGATGTTCCACCACTTAGGATGCCACTGATTTCCTTGTATGAAAGCCCCCACCACCATCGGTGTCACACTGCTTCATGATTGCATCTCTCATTTTCTCCTTGGGAGGAAGTGTGATCACTCCCTTTACAACACTTCTTGATTCATAGATTGTATCAAGAAACTGTTCCAACTCTTCTGCATCCAGCTCGCCACTGTTGTCCTTATCATAGTTTGCGAAGACCGCACGGTGAAAGAACTCCTCTGATCCTGATGAGTCCAGTACATACTTCTTCCTGAATTGATGGAACTGCTCTGGGGAGAGCTCAGCATCCAGGGCAGCTTGCCCCTCCTTTCCACTGGCCAATTCCATAGCCACTCTTGTAGCAACCTGAATGACAACTTGTGCTGGTTGGTTTAGTTTGACGCTCAGCTTGGCCCACAACTGTGCATTGGAGGAGACAAATTGAGCGATTTCCTCTCTAGAAGCACCACTGCTGTTGTCTTTGTCCATTTGCTGAAACAACGCATCTGATTGCTTGTGCATGCACAATAGAGGCGTCCATGGCTTCTTGCCCACCAGTACCATCTTTGTCGTCTTCTTTCTCATCCTCCGAGTCTTCATCGTCGCTGTCATCAACTTTGTCATCTTTATCACTGTTACTACTATCATCATCATCGTCGTCGTCATCATCATCGTCGTCTGTCGTCGTCGTCGTCGTCGTCGCCATCACGTCTCTTCCTCTTCATCATCAGCAGTCATTCCCAAAGCAACCAAAGCAGCGGTTCCACCACTCAGAACGCCCCTGATTTCTCCAAAAGAAAGCCCTCCACCGCCATCAACATCATAGCGCTTCATGATCAGGTTTCTCATCTTCTTCTTGGGAGGAAGTGTGATTATCCCTTTCACAACACTTCTTGACTCATAGATGGTATCAAGAAACTGGTCCAGTTCCTTTGCATCCAATTCCCCACTGCTGTCTTTATCATAGTTGGCAACACAGCTCGTTGATAGAACTCCTCTGATCCTGTGGAATCCAGAATATATTTCTTTCTAAATTGATGAAACTGCTCTGGAGTGAGCTCTGCATCCAGAGCTGCTTGTCCTTCTTTTCCACTTGTCAACTCCATGGCCACTCGAGTGGCAACCTGAATTACAACTTCCGGTGGCTGCATGACTTTTCTGCTGAGCTCGGACCACAGCTGGGAGTTGGACGCCACAAACTTGGCAATTTCTTCTTGCGAAGCACTACTGCTCTGGTCGGCATCCATTTCTTGGAACATGGCATCGGACTCCTTGCGGGCCGCATGTTTGTCCTTCTTGACACCTCGAGAAGAAGTGTCCGTGGACATGGTTCGTCTATTCTGGAGCGCGGTTGAAATTTTACTCTACTAGTACTTGATCCCCTTTATCGATAAACTCAGTGGCTCGACCAGCAACCATGGTCACTCATTGGAAACATCCTGGGTCCTCCATCCTTGGGCTTGTCCGAGAATGGTGGTACTCAACATGAGCGATGCCCGCAGACCTGTGTGAAAGCACCCGGTGAGGGAGGGTATCTTTCTGCTTGTCCCGTGGGGTTGAGCATAGATTCGCCATTGAGTTCTCGTTTGATTCGATTCGATCGATTCCGAATCTCGATTCGATTTCGATTCTACTCGATTTAATTCGAATACATTCGAATACATTCAATCCGATACGAAACAACCGACCTAAAATCTTAAAAGTGAGAACATATATACATATGAATGGAAGCGCACTGACCTGGTACCCAGTACCGGAGTTTAGCGTAGACTATAGTTGGTTGTAAGCCGTGGAATACTGCTAACGGTACAGCTACTAGCTTCGAAAACGTTTACGATGCAAGATGATGACCAGCGCCGCTGCATCATCCAAAACTACCGGTAGGTACAAAGACGTGAAGATATTAGTTGATCATAGTTGCTGTTCTAGCTAGTTGTTATGAAATATGACCACATCATCAAGAGATCCACTTCGAAGATGATACTGGTGCCCCGCCCAATGGCAAAACCAAAAATGTATGAATGTTTTGACATGAGTCCGGTCACCTTGCCTTGCAAATACGGCCTCCCATGACAGTGCCTCCAGTCGGAACGGAGTACGAGCAGCTTCGATTTCAAAGATTCAAACGCGTGCCGGGTTTTCTCGTACACTTCTACGAGAGCTCGCGTAGAAGTGTACCAGAAAGAGCGGCACGCGTTTGAATAAGAAAAATCGAAGCTGCTCGTATATAGCGCTAACTCTCGCCAAGAGACGACCTCCTGGAACTTTTTGCCAACATGGGGTTTTGGGGAATTTTGGAAAGGAAACTTAGCGTCCCGGCCCCTGCTGGATGAAAACGTACCAAAAAAGGCTTTGGAGAGTACCCGCCGAGAGGCTGCGTTTCTTGCTCCACGTCGAAAACGAAGTGTTGGCCGCAGACGACATTGAGTCGTATAGTAAAGGCTGTCGGTTGTCGGTTGTCGGTTGTCTTCGCTTCATCCGGGCTATATCCCTTGATGACGTATTCGAAAGACGCGGTGTATTCTTCCTTGTCTTTGTGGAAGATTTTTTCAGCTTCCTCCTTGAATTCTTTGGTGCCCGTACCACGCCAACGCCGCGGTGATGGCAACACGAAAGGCTTCCAATTCTACTGTGCGATCAAACTCAAAATGGACGGAAGCCATATTGCCGTTGCTCGATATAGATGAGCTTTCTTGCGGTTTTGCCATTCCCGGGGCTAACGCATTAAGCGTAAAAAGATGCTCTACAGCTTCTTTCTTCAAATCAAAAATCTTGGTGGGCTTTCTTGGAGTCGCTGGAGTGACGCCTTCTTCGACATCAAAGTCCTCCAAAACCTCTGCAAGAAAATTTCGAACCACAATTGCGGTAATTTTATGTTTGCATGCGTCCATCACTTCATCTCGTCTATCATTTGACTTCAAAGTCTCGAATATGCTTGCTGCGGTAGTAGCATCAAGTGCTGTGTGCAATGCAGCGAAGCGCGCAAATAGGTACCATACCAGTACGGTACGATACTGAAGGGAGG